AGCACTCCATGATAGCTGAAATTAGCAAACCTGTATTACAGCTAGCTCACACCAGAACTATGTGCGTCTGCACAGCTGCAATGTGTTTTGCCACGATTGTACCGCAATTGATGCAGGGTTTTTTTTTTTTGCTTAAAGTTGGATTTCAGGTGCGTTCCAGTGCATTTGCATGCGTTATGTTGCGGTCTGATGCAGCTAAAATAGGGCAAACAGTATATTTTCTGACTGCATCGGAATGGAGTGCACTGGTGTGAATAGAGCACCAGAAATCCCATAGGAAAGCATTGTGACATATTTTGGCTGCAGCAGCCAAACTGAATGGACTGCATCACAACTGCATCTGGTGTGAACTAGCCCTTAAAGACACCTTATTCCCATGGTCAGAATGTACTCAGATCTTGTGCAGAAACTCCAATCTCAGAATAAATCCTCTTTTGAACAAGTCTACTTTTGACTCCTCTCTGTCTGCTTCCTCATCCTTCTTTTATTTCTTCCTCTCGTCCCACACTTTGATTGACAGTTGGCGAAAACTAAACCCGACCACATGAGATTATACCTTTATTTGTAATCCTCATAACACGTTTCAGAATTGTCCACATATTTATAGCACACATGCTTTTGCCCCATGTGTGGCTTCATCTATTGTCCCATTATCGTAGACCGACCATAGAGGTGTCTCTGTCACTTGTGGGCTACTTTGGTAGACCGCACTTGGACTCTCAAAAGCTCTCCTCACTGATGAGACCTCTCGCACCTTCATTCAAAATTACACAATATTGCCAAAAGTATTGGGGCCCCCGCCTTTACACACACATGAACCTTAATGGGATCCCAGTCTTAGTCCGTAGGGTTCAATATTGAGTTGGCCCACCCCTTGCAGCTATAACAGCTTCAACTCTTCTTGGAAGGCATCCACAAGGTTTAGGAGTGTGTCTATGGGAATGTTTGACCATTCTTCCAGAAGCTCATTTTATGAGTTCAGGTACTGATGTTGGACAAGAAGGCCTGGCTCGCAGTCTCCACTCTAATTCATCCCAAAGGTGTACTATCGAGTTGAGGTCAGGACTCAGTGCAGGCCAGTCAAGTTCTTCCACCCCAAACTCGCTCATCCATGTCTTTATGGACTTCCCACAAAGTTGGGAGCATGACATTTTCAAAATGATGCCTTAAGATTTCCCTTCACTGGAACTAAGGGCCCAAGCTCAACCCCTGAAAAACAACCCCACACCATAATCCCCCCTCCACCAAACTTTACACAATGCAGTCAGGCAAGTACCGTTTTCCTGGCAACCGTGAAACCCGGACACGTCTATCGGATTGCCAGAGAAGCGTGATTCATCACTCCAAAAAACAAGTCTCCACTTCTCTAGTCCAGTGGAGGCGTGCTTTACACCACTGCATCTGACATTTTGCATTGCACTTGGTGATGTAAGGCTTGGATGCAGCTGCTGAGCCATGGAAACCCATTCCATGAAGCTTTCTACGCACTGTTGTTGTGCCAATCTGAAGGTCACACGAAGTTTGGAGGTCTGTAGCTATTGACTCTGCAGACAGTTGGCGACTTCTGCGCACTGTGCGCTTCAGCATGAGTGGACCCCGCTCGGTCACTTTACGTGGCCTACCACTTCGTGGCTGAGTTGCTGTTGTTCCCAGTTGCTTTGTTGTGATACCACTAACAGTTGACCGTGGAATATTTAGTAGCAAGATTTCACGGGTGGACTTATTGCACAGGTGGCAACCCATCACAGTACCACGCTTGAATTCAGTGAGCTCCTGAGAGTGAACCATTCTCTCAATTGTTTGTAGAAGCAGTCTGCATGCCTAGGGGCTTGATTTTATACAGCTGTGGCCATGGAGGTGATTGGAACACCTGAAGCCAATGATTTAGAGGGGTGTCCCAATACTTTTGGCAATATAGTGCACCTTAGATTATATTGCGAATACTCGCAACCCAAACACTTCCCCACTTAGTCTATGGGAGGCCCACAAGACGTGGTGCATGGGAGGTGTATCCAGCTTGACTGAAAGGAGGCAACAACTGTCCCAATTGGAAGCAACATTCTACACTAAACTCCAAAGCAAAACAAAAATTGGACATAGAAAGGGCTAGGCACGACCAAAATCTCTTACTGGTTAATGACATGGACAAACTACATAGAACAGAAGCATGAATTTTATCGTAAGGGCAACAAGCAAGATTCTTTACTGGCTACCCGTTTGCATTGCCTTGACCCCACTTAACGACCACTGCGCCTGCATGTTGTCAGTAGCCCCCTAACTAGCAACACTCTTAAAATAACGGAGTTTAGCATATTTTCATCTTTCGCCCTGTAGTGCAGAATCTGTGGAATAAGGTGCATAGTCTGCTATTTAGTTTTGTTTGCGAGTAGAATATGCAGGTGTGATCAGCAGAGAGGCACTGCTTAATCTTGAGTTGGGCAGACTCACAAAGTACAAGTTTGAGCCAGTTTACCCTATATGTCCTTACCACTGGCCTGGAACTCTGGCAAGTGTGACCTGGTCTTTAATCATTCTGTAATTTTCTGAGATGCAGAACAGAATCCAATGGAAATTTACAAATGAAATATTGATGGCAAGGCAGTTAGGCGCTATGGCCAAATTTGAGAGGGTTGTTTTGGGCACCCTGGATTAAGCATTTCCCACCTCCCTCCTTGTCTGTTGGTTTTGTAGACCTCCACTTGCAGTGAAGTTCACTTTTGTTGACCTCGGGAATCCCGGTGCTGTCCTCCCCCCTGCCCCCTCTTTTCTGTCTTTCTTACTTCTGTGGTTCTTTCACATACCCAGAATGACTTACCTACGGCACGCCTATTCTGGTGGATGAGTACAACTCGTGCAGCAGATGCTACTTTGCCAACATTTCTATGTGTGTTGCGTCTAGTTGTTACTTCTTTGCCAAAGTTTTATATACTTATCTTTCCAACCTTAAATGTCTGTAACTTGGCGCTTATTTCTAACTGGCACTTGTCTGTTCTGGCTACTTTATTTTTCTATATTGTTTTATTGTTACTATTTTGTAAAACGTAATAAAAGATTTATTGCGGGAAAAGCTGGTAACAGGGAGGAGAGCCGATTATACGGGGAGTAAGAAGGTGTAGGTCATTACCTGATAGGTAATAGGCAGAAATCAGAGAAGAGATGTACAATGGTGTTGCAGTATATAGAGGGGCCCTTGTGCAGACTTTAGAACTGGATCCCATTATTATAAGCACTCATCCTACCGTGTATTAAATGTACTGTTGTGCAAGTAATGAGGGGCTAACTAAGTAGCCAGGGTGCAGAGTAGTGATGTGTCATCTTCTGTGCTTGTACACTTGATGTGATCTCCATTGGAAGTTACCTACTGTAGCTCCCCCTGGTGCAGGGGGCCAGTCTAAACAGTCCCTCAGGAGAGGTAATATAACTGTAAAGCTTTAGCTATTTCCATTCATTTTAATCTCGTGCTACTGAAAAATGAAGGGGCCCTTTGACCCCAAAAAACAGTTTATCCCAATGCATGTATTTTGGTTCATTTTGCGTTAAGCATAAAATAAATGCACTAAAATAAATGCATAAAAAATAGATTCTGCTACATTTTTAATGACCAATTCTGGTATTGGGAAGCTGGTTATGCTGAAAATTTTAGGATCTGACATTTTCAAGTCAGGTCAGCTTATAGAGAAACTATAATGGTCAACTTTATTTTGTATTGGAAGTTTGCACATTTATAAACGGTTTGTGGTTTGTTTTTTTCTTCCCGTTTGCTTATAATCACCATTGTACACAAACATTACATGCTGTATATTTGACGCTGTAAGACTGCTGCTGGACTTCCTAAAATACATTTGCAAATAATGATGTCAGTGTCATTTAAAATGTTATTCATAATGCCTATAGCTACAAAGGTGAATGAGGGCTTATTTTCAAGAGCCATTACTGTTTGGTCAGTATATGTAAATACTTTTTTTTTTGTGCATTATCTGGTCACTGGTGCACTTTAGAAGTTAGTAATTGTTAAAAAAAAAGATGCTATGGAAAAAATATTTGTGTTATTACATGAACACACTTTTGTCTTTCATTTACTTACAAATGGACCAAACAGATAAGAAGAAGCAAAAGCGCTGTGGACTATTCCTGATGATGTGTTTGTTACATGTACAGGATCGCTAGGGGTGCTGCCCCACTTCAGCCGGGGAGACTGTAAAACTGGAAGACAAAAGAGAAAAAAGGGCGCCCAACCTGGTGCAGATAATCCTTTTAATTTAAAATAGACACCATGTTCTGAAAAAGGGGGCGTGACCCCGGAAACGCGTCAACGACGTCACAACTCAGTGGCACACAGACAGATTGCAGTCTTGCAACTGCTGTTTCTCTGAAATCATCCATATATGCTGTTGTTTGAACTACCTTTGTGAGTACCCTTGTACTTCTGTTTATGGTGTCTATTTTAAATTAAAAGGATTATCTGCACCAGGTTAGGCGCCCTTTTTTCTCTTTTGTCTTCCATTTTTACTTACAAATGGAGCTCAACCACTTTGGCACAAATGATGTAATCGTGCCCAAGCAATGCATCCTGGGAAGATTACATCAGTAGATCATTGCTGGGAAATCTCACAGCATCTCTGGGAGAGGCATTTTCCTCCACTGGAGACTATGTGAATGGTCACATGTGCCAGAGTAAAGGGAGATGGATTAATCTGCCCTTGTTAAAACATGGCCACTGTCAGAAGACTGGGGAAGAATAGAGAAAGATATGCAAAGAATACAAAGCCGGCAATTATCTAGAAGTATGTGTTTGTAAATTGTTATTACTAAACCTTTCTAAAGGTGTGTCTGTTATTTTAAAGATTTGGGTATAGTTCCTCTAAGTCAAGTGAGTTCCCCCTACCAGTGTCATTAGACATATGGTAGTCAGGGCCCCTCTCCCACACAAAGATGGCAAAAAACAAAACAAAATGAAAGTAGCACAAAAACACAGCCATTTACTACAGAAATACTTTAGTCATAATAATTTATTTAATGTTTTCCAGGGTTCACATTTCCAGAGAAAATCCAGAGTATTTTATATACTTCCCAAGTTATAGAAACAACAATAAAAAACAGTGCAGATGCGGTTTAATAGAACTATTTTATATATTTATTTGAAAAATACTTACAAAAGCAAATGTTTTGACACTAAAATATTTAATTTTTTTTCCTCTAGCTGTTAACATCTGTGGGTTTAAGCATGCAGTGATAACAGTCATCTGGTATGAGCTTGCTACAATTTCCAGAGGGAAGGATAAAGGGGTGGGCAGGTCATTCTAAAGTCAACCGTGGCACTGCCCTCCCCTCCTCTCTCTCCTTCCTTTACAGTAGTCAAGATTTGTGCTTAACTATCTGCATGGTTAATGCTGGGTTTGCTTATCAAATAACACTTCAAATCCATTATTGACTGCATGCTGGTTTACTGTATTGAGTGCCACTGGAAGACCAACTGCATTAATGCGTGGTCTGAATATAGGTTCGACTCTCTACTGCCAGCAATAATGCAGGTTCTTTCTGGCAGAGAAAAGCTATTAAGGTAAAGTCAAGGGAGGACCAAATATTAAACTATACACCCTGTAGGACTGCAGTGCATGGGTTACTGGAAAGGTCCTTTGGTCGCAGAGACACCTAAAGGGAACCAACACATAACTGCAAACAGTTTAATTGACTCTAATTACCACCACTGCGACATAGAACTATTGCTAACTGAAGCAGGGTCTGAAAGAGCAAAGGCAATGGTTTCCGAAGAAGGTCTAGGTTGATGCACTTCATTGCTGATAGACGCTCTGTACACGTTAACTCTCTCTTTGAATCGTATTATTGCTGGGTGAGCACCATACTGACAAAGTAGAAAATGTGGTATTGTTCTCACTGAATGTTAAGTGGAAGAATGCTTTGTCAGAGATTCACACACCTGAAGTAACTGGATGTTCATACACTGCTGAGACTTTACCTGTTCGCTCCAATACTTGTTCACTGCAAAGCCTTCCTGCACCAGTTTGGCAATCTAAAGTAATACTTAGGAATTCCAAATCTTGCTCACAAATCTAGCACAAAGGGACTTTCCACAGGCTTAAAGGTGTTAAGACGAGACTGGCGATAACTCTACACACTAATATCCTTTAAATGACAAAGGCTTAGATCAAGGATGTATGATGCAAGTCTGGCAACTTTTTGCAAAGTAGACTTGCTGGACTGCTATATAATTACATTTACCTGCCATGCCTATAAAAGGCAGAGGAACCTCTCCAGCTGGTTGTACCGTACATGTCAGGGGCAGTTGTAAATGTCCTATGTGGAGAGTAAGATGGATGCTGCCTCCTAACTCCCACTGGAGGAGTCAAACTCTTCTGTCTCCAGTCTTCCTCTGGTGGCATGTCCACTCTCTTTGGACCCTGAATTCTAGGCTGCGGAGTAAAAGCACTTCCCCATGTCTCTCCTCTACCGATGGAAGAGCTTCTTGGCATTCTTAAGGTGCTGAAATTTGAAGTTGGAGGTGGTGGCCTACGATGCATTGAGTAGCTGTCATAGTCTCCATAAGCGGATGTTGGCTGGAAGGGGCTGTTTCGCAAGCTGCCTCCTGGTGAGCCCAAGAAGCTGGAGTTTACTGCATGTTGTTCTGCTCTGTTGATCTGTGCTGGCTGTCCTGACCACTGGTGGTAGCTGGGAACACTCTGTTCAGTGGCTCTGAGCTGCTGCCACGAGTCAGGCGAAGACCTTTGCAATGTTGAGAATAAGCTAGGAGTGGTCTTAGGAGCCCTAGGAAGAGTTGCATAGCTCAATGCCACATCTGAGAATTCGTTACCTCGGATACCTTCACTCCTGTCAGGCATAGCCAAAATGTTTTGGACGTTCGTTTCTCCTTAATTGTTTAAAAAGAGAGAGAGGGAAAAAATAAATATGAATCAGGAAGACAAGTTCAAAATCCAATTTACTACCGTTTGAAGGCCATGTAAATAAACTGCATTAATAAAGTAGTTTAAATGCATACAAACACTCGTCTTACACAATGCTCCAACAAACGTTCAATACTTATAGCTAGAAGGTCAGAAAACAATATTCAGATTTTTTTAGGCGGTTATACAATGCTGACTTGATCATTATTTCCTGTAACAAACCTGTTTGGACTGGTAAAGCTCATCTTCAAGCAAACTGCTAAATACACATTTATGTGAACTGTTTTTTTTTTACTAGACCGTTTGTATTCCTGCTCAGCCAGACAGCACAGTCAGGTTCTGTACTCCCTGAAAACGCAGCAGTTGAGCAATAGAACCTGGTCCAGAATCTGCCCCAGCTTGTGACTGGACAATGAAAAGGTCATCATTCTGCTCTCTTCCACTCATTAAGTCCCCTGTGTTACAATGACACCACTGTGAATACAGCATAGCCTGCTTCCCTCTCCCAATCTGGATACTGCTGTGCAGAGTTTCGCAGGTGGTTAATACCAAGAGGCTGGATACGTATGCTTGTAGCCTTTTAAATATGTGTAATTCTGTTTTTTTTATTTAATCCATACCTAGATAAACCAGTGGCTTCTTATATACATGTCTGGAGTTCAGTTTTAAGAAATGTAGGTAGAACTGAAGTAGTATTTGGAGAGTAAAATATACTCTTCCAAATATTTAGAGCCAGCGTTCGACACTGCAGCAGTCGTGTGCCAGCCCTATAGATCCAGTAGATTGTGTAAACGCTCGCTGCTCAGCGAAAAGTCTTTTCCCTGCAGAGAGCGGTAAATCATCACCCCCTCCCCTCTCTGTTCCTCCAGCGCTCATTCGAGAGACAGACAGGGGAGGGGGCGGGCACAGCTTGCTTTGGCTCCTGAGATCCAGCCTCTCCGGGCCTCAGTGCGGTCAGCACATGGGGGGGCAGTAGCCGACTTTATACTGAGTTTGGGGTCACAGGAATACATTATAAAGTGTACCCACATGGGTGGGGGGAGGGGGGGGACATGAAAACAGTATTTTGTTGTGCCATGTTTACAATATAGTCAGGTGGAACTGATTGACATCACCAATGAAACATAGGAAGCTCCCTAAAGATGTATGAAGCCAAAATGTGATTCGGTTTGCCTTTAACCAGAATACATGTTTTGGGTGGCATTGCCCTGACCTACAATAAAAATGCAGGATATGATTTATTTTTTGCTGGCTGCATGTTTTGTACTAGGGATCAGAATGACACCTGGAGTGTTCACTCACATATCGTGCTAACAAATGGACCATTCTGAACAGCAGAATTATTAATGAGGGGTAATTCAACAAAGGGAAAATGTAATGCAGACTATCACTTGTCTTGAAAATCAAGGAAATTAATTAAATGAGTACTTTTCTTTATTTGGGATGTTTATAATGTTACTGTCTGTACCTTAACCTGGGGCACCCACTGTGTGCAAAATCTTTGTAGCTGATTTTTAATCACTGGGAAATATGTATTTTATCTCAGTTACTCTCTCCTCCTCATCACCACTCACCGGCCTCTCGAGCGGCGCACACCCACCATGAGTGCCAGACAAACTCGTGTAACTTTTGTAAAATAAGCAAACACTCTACTCAGAGCTAAGAATGTAGTGAACGAGAGCAGCAGCAACCAGTTTTTTTTTGTGCAAAAGAACCAAGGAATCTGGTTGGCTGCCATGAACAGTTCCACAAATCAGCCCTGATTTGTATGGTCAGATTTGGTGCGAGGGACATTCCAACCAACTTCCCACCTAGGAGGATTTCAAGATGAAATCAGCTGACACGGAGGGTCCCAGGTTACCCTAGCAGGTGCCAAGTTCTGATCCAAACAGACCCATATGGGCCAAAACACAGTAATTGACAGGGCTCTAAAAACCAGCTATGCATCATAATTCTAATACTCTGGAATTATTCTTGGCCATATTAGTGCCCAACAGCAATCCATGAAAGGTGATGGCAACATTCCAGTGTGATGGCATTACAAACAGTAATCTCCGTATTTCACGGGGGAAATAAGAACTATACTGGAAAAATGGGATTTGTAAATAAAAATAACATTCATCCAGTTAGTCTGACCTACTCCTGTAATAACATGGTCGGTGACGGAGTAAATGTTTAACCACGTTCCATCCATAAAGGGCCGGATGGGAGCCTTGTAGATGCGGATGGCCGTTTTACAACGTCCTCCTCTGTCCCAAACTACCTTAAACGTAAACAGCCGGCGATGGCTGTTTACAAGCTTTCCTGTGGCTATAGAGCCGCTGGATTACTTGCATTTTGTGTGCGGTTTTAGAATGCAGGAAGTGATATATATTACATCACTTCCACATTCAGCTGTCATTCCCGGCTACAGAAGTCAGAGAGAAGCTGGTGAAGCAGATCTCTGGGGGTCCCTAGGTGACATTAGGGGTCTTAGAGATACTGAAACAGCCATTTTGTTATGTCTGTTGATCAGAGTTTCGACTGACTGGTATTCCTCTTCAGCAGAGAACATTGACTAACAACCTAGGCCTTCATACATAGGGGAAGAGCGAGGTTGTTGGCTACCTTCACATAAATCTAGACCATCACTCTGTCCAAAAGCTTAATTCATCCTTTCTTTTACTTTTATTAATATTAGACTATAGGACTCTCTAATCAGGGATTACAGAAGAACTGTTACGATTTAAAGTATATGTAAACAAACTTCTCTTTTGTGTGTTAAAGAAAAACTCCAGGCAGAAATAATCCTAACTCATACTTATATATACATACATACATACATACAGGAATAGTAGACTAGGCATTAAAAGGAAATAAAGCGTGGGCCTGGCTTGGGGTTTGGCAGGTTTCAGGATGGCATAACCCATCAGTTGAAGATAAAGATCCCTGCTGTGTCCTTGAATGAGCAGAGAAAAGGATTTTACGGTGAGTAAAAAAGAAAAACCTATTTTCTCGAAGTAACTGACCGTTGTAAATGGGTGTTGAGCGCTTCCAGCTCCGAACCAAGCCAGGTAATTCCCTCATTCCTTCTATTCATACTCTGAACAGGCAGAGGGGTTTAGCAACTCTAGCGTTTTCCACAGGAATTTAAAATTAGCGCAAAACTGTATGACTCCAGTCAGAAAAACGTAATAGTAAGGGAATTCCATCCGATTCTGACTCCAAAAGAAGTCACACCTAGTGACTTCCCTGTCCTCATAGCTCTGGAGTTGTTTTTGCAGATTGCATCTGTAGTGCAGCCTAACAGTTTAGGCATAATGATGCTGTGTGGGCACCACTGGGCCGGACCGGTAGTCTACATTTTGTTGGAAGCTGTGCCCAAAAAAAAAAGGCAGGCCGAGGGCAAAGGACTAAGTTTCTGCAGCTGACTTTTCCCTGTCATTGATGAACCAAGCCTTGTCTGTGTCTCTGTGGTGGTGACTGTCTTGAAAGAGCCATTGCTTTTGCTCCATCATGTCAGTGCTTCCAGAAAGAATACTAGTGAGCAGTAAAGTAGCGATATAATAAACATCTGACTCCAAAGTTGCTGAGACTAGCAGTCAGAAGCAGACTAAAAGGTACATTTTCCAAGGTAATATTTAGGCAATTTACATTTCTTGATTTTTCCTATAACAGAGCGAATCTTTACTTTGAGTTCAGTTCCACTTTAAAGTCAAACTAAACTATTATTTAAAAACACTGCTGGCAGATAAGCTTTTATTGCAGAAGAGACTCTGTACGTCTCTTCCCCCTAAACTCCTTACCTGACAGCCATGTTTTTTCTAAATGTACAATGTCAGCCCTAGCTGGGTGCCGGGATGATTTATCGCCCATGTGCATGCACGCAAGGCGTTATTCCCTCATTCCCTCACTCATCCCAGACCTGCCAAATCGATATGATCAAAAATGCAAAACCCAAAATGAAGACCGCACAAAGAGGTCAGTGTGGACAATGGAACAATGAGGGACATTGTGGCCATCACAGCGTTGGGAGGATCCCTTTGGAAGGTTTTTTTTTTTTTTTTATTCAACTATGTGCCAGTATAATTTTCACAGTGAAATTGTAATTCTTATTTTACGGAAGCGCCAATTATTCCCTACTCTTCAGTGATTCTGGGATTTTTTTTAAAGATTTATTTTCCAGTTCAAAAACCTAGCAACTTAGCACATCCATCCCTGGTCTATGTGCTAGCTCTTGATTTCAGTCCAAGAGATGGAAGCCCCACTGTTAAGTGCATGGGAACTCAAGGAGGGATTATCCTGTTAGCCTTCTATACCCATGATGCATACATCAGATCTGGGTGGATTCTTAACCCTTTAGACTCGTCCCTCCAAGGGAAAGAGCCCATATTCAAATTGCTCCTTTATCTACTTATGTGCTGACAAAAATACAGATTACACACAATAAACACCATGTCAGACACCTGTATCATAAAAAAACCTAATAACAAATTAGAAAAATGCAGACAATATTAAGCCATTTTAAGACAGCACAAAGGAAATTATGGGTAAAGCAAATGGTGTTCAATGAAGAAACACTAACATATGCGAAGTAAGCCACAAAACCGAGAGAATCAACATGCAGGAAAGTTGTGTGCAATTACCTGGTGGTCTGTGTGCCTCACCCACCATGCTGGGCGCCAGTACCTCATGAGATGGGTGCTGTATCTGGGTTGGGTAGTGCTGGGGTTCATAGGATAAGACAGAAGGGTTGTGGGTATAAGGGTAGGAGGAGGAGCTGTGAGAGCGATGACTGCTGTCCACAAGTGGTTTCCTCTCATTGGGTGCCTCCTTTTAACAAATGAAATAGAGAAAAATACACCAGTAAACAAGATGGTTATGTAATGCAGGATAAAATACATCTGTAAAACATTTACACAAAAGGATAACACATAACTAAACAGCCAACATTGCAAGCTAAAGGCACATGACTACTATCAATGTGCAACACATACACTTGGCAACAAAGTCTCCAGCAAAATGCAGTTTGCAATGAAGTTTTTATTTTTATTTGATCTCTGTACACAAAATGTATTTCTAGGTTTAGAAATAGAGCTAAAATGTAAACTCACAGATAGGGTAACACGCCTTGAATCAATACTAAAGTATACATTATATATATATATATTCTTTTAATGCAAACACTCTAGAACTGCCAGTTAGAAATTGTTCATGCATACAAACCTGTGTTCCCTTTTACCCGTTTATACATGTGCTTTCTTACCTAGTCTGTTGTTCAGTAATGGGAACTAATGAAGGCAGTAATCGGTTCTCTTAGAACTTTATTTTTTTTTAATCATTTGCTAGGATACTGGATATGCAATATTTGAAGTCCTATCCCTCCTCACTCCTCCCTCTCTTCTGCTTTATGATCAGCTACTTGTTTTAATGAAATTCAGCTGCCAATAAATGAGAAGGCAGAACACAGGACAGGACTGGGAGGGACCACACTGCTCTGCGAAGTGACCCTTATCCAAATAATTAAGCATACTGACATTCTAAGTGGGAGGTGTGGAAAGCCTATGACCTCTGATCTAAGACAAAGAGGTCATAGAGAAGGCTAGGTGCAGCACTGTGCCAGCACAGCTGTAAGAATCTGACATGCACCAAAAAGTCACTACAGGTGAATCTTCCAGGTGCATGTGTTTTAAATGCTTCAAGGAGTGAGGTGAAGGCGCTTAAAAACTGACGTTTGGTTGAAATATGCCATCCGATGGTATGGTGGCGTACTGGTGTGAATATTAGGCTGGCAGCTTCTGCATACCGAAATATTCAAGTCCAAAAGATTTGAACAAATTGTATATAAAAGTCACCACATTTCAGGGGTTGTACTCGGCCCCCTTTTCTTTGAGTCCACATACCTGTGTTTTTTCAAGCCCTGATAAGCAGCCTGTGTATAGCCCCAAAAGTGCAGTGGCAATGGCTATGTTTGAATCAAATAATACGGTGTGGCAATTCAATTCTACATTAAACACATGTATGTTAACCCTTTCACTGCCATCGATGTAAGGCATACATTGGCAGCAGCACTGACCTGTAAACAAACTCTTGGCTGCTATAGCAGCTGCAAGTCTTTGTAGATTTTCTCAGGACCTTGCCTGCTTTTTAGTGAAAGCGATACAGGTGGCCTTACAGCCCCTCCTGCCCCCCCAAAAAACAGGTTTTTAATTTAATAAAACATTTAAAAAACACTTACAAGATTCCCAGAAACAAATCGCTTTTTCAAAAAATTGAGGTTGGGACACGCTGAGTTGGAAGGATTTTAATTCTGTGATTATTCGACTGGCTTGTTCATGACGGATTGGAAACATTTTTAAAAAAGCGATTGGTTTTCTGGGAATCTTTTTAAATAAAAACCTGTTTTTGGCATATTACACTATGTGTTTATTATCCTCTCTGGGAACGGATAAGTCTTATAAATGACCACACCTGAACCGGAAGCTTTCTAGTGAAAGAGCACAGAGTGGAGGAGGAAGTTCCTATTGCGAGTGGAGGAGCAAACGTTCACTGTGATTGCAATCCGGGATTGTTATGCCTCTTTGAATATGGAAGTCTGGTGAGTGCGGTGTGTTTCACAGTCACCGGGAGTTTGCACACTACAGCTATAAGAAGGACTTATCACTGATGTTTTTTTTGTTTTTTATATATATATCTTGGCACTTTATCACTTTTTTTTTCCCCCTTTTTTTTCCATCAATTTATGGTGGATTTTTAATTACCAATTTGCACTTAATATCTACTGGAGATATTACAATGAGAAACACTTTTTACTGTGTATGAGTATTTATTAATGTTATTGGTAATATGTGATCTATTTTGATATTTAGCACTATATTATTCACGTATTATGATTATTGATTAGAGCAGTGCATTTATTTGATCTAGCTTCAAAATAGTGCAGAGATGACATGAGGTGTCTAAAAACCACTGTTGTCTCCCTAAAGAGAATATTTCACATAGGTGGACACATATCAGGTATAACTGTGCACACTGGAGTGAGAGCAATAATTCAAGGGCCATCATTCACTTTTAACATCGAGGAGCTATAAAAGGATTTTAAAGTGTCGCCTATGGACAGTTTTGAGCACCATCGTTTTCCACCCATTTCAGGGGCAGAAGTGCCATTTTTAAGCTTGACATGATTGGTATCCATTTACTCGACCCAAACATTTTTACTGAAAATATGGTAAACATGGTGTGGTAAACAGTTCAGGCACTGAAAGTGAATGTTTGGTGTAAGTGACATTCACCGCTTTATAAATAGATTTCATTCTTTTGCAAGTGTGCATGCATGAACTATTTTTACTTGCGATTCCAGAGTGTTGGCATTTAAGAAAAAGAAAAAAAAAACTGAATTCTGCTTGAACATTTGCAAGAACTTTTCTTAGTATCTTAGAACCCCACTTGTCATTTGGCAATAGGAAAAAATACAGATGGCAAACATGACACAATGTCAGCTGGCCTTCCCACAGAGTTAGCAGTTTAGTACCAACGTAACCTGCTAACCGGAATGGGGGAAGATGAACTGATTTCTTCATGTAGGAAATATTGCATTTCTTTTCTTTCAGGGTAACAGGGAGATGAGCTAATCTGCTCTCAAACATTTGATGGAAAAAGAGTGCTAGGGTACTTACAAAACTGTGAGAAGAGACTAAAGTCTCTTCTCTGCCAGAGATGACTGTTCCACTGAGGCTCCGTGCAAGCCGCCGAAAGTTCTCTGCACTGTAAAGTTCATCATCCTCGGGATCCCTGCTTTGGTCCCTTACTTGAGTGACCTGCAGGTGCACACACAGAATTTGACAAGTGCAGACTTATTCTCTTGTCTGTATCTCAAGGTATGGGTGCAGCTTATTGTTACTTTTCTAAGGGTTGCCTTACACAGGAAGGAACAGCTGCTTGTTCTTACCATGATCACCAGGGCCACAACTTCAAACCTTGGCAATCAAGGATCAGTATTATCCACTGACTTCTTATATCTTGTTAGGAGTTCAGCAGATATAAAGTATCACTACTCCTGTGTGCTGGAAAAGCCTTACCTTTACTGCTGAGTAATGTAAAAGAAACAGAAGGCTGTCCCCCCCGTCAACTGAGCTGTAAACCCAGCTTCAGAGATCCCACCAGAGCCCACAAGAGATGTAAGAAGTCAGTGAGCGATTCAACCAAATACATCTTTTTAAGAAGACAAATAAAAAAAAAAAAGGTATTTTGTACTTTCTGTGAAATCTTGGGGTATAGGTTCTTCCCCAAACAGGCTGGGCACTTATCTTATATCCAGAAACAGCTTCCATCTTTCCTTAGTTAAGACTTACAACCTGGGAAAGGTTCAGGAGATGCAGAGAAAATGATTTTCATTTTCTAATGAATCCTCCTCACTGATCCACCAGCTAATGGCACAGGAAGTAAAGTTTAAAGGTCCCACCTAACCAAATCTCTACAGTGTTTTCTAAGGAGCCAATAAATATATATTACAGGGAGAGGATTACCAAAAGGTATCATCTTAGAAGACACTGGAAAAGGTATTGAGCAAATAAATTAGCCATGTGATGTTTCAATTTAATCTTCCACAATAACACCCATAATCCCAACACAAAGGGGAAAGAAGGAGTCACGCTTGTAGTAACAATTATCAAGACAGATCTCTCGGGTTTCAAAGATCATATAAAGCAAGCAGAGTTCTCCTTAATTAAAGAAATCCCACAATCGGAGCTGTCTGTAAGTATAAAACAGGCTATATATTTGTATCAAAATTTAATGAAAAAAGAATTTGAAGAATAATAACAGATATAGAAACACCTAGTAACAAAGACATCTAAAATCAATTAAAATAGAACAAATCCTCCCTGATATGGCCCAGAGGGATATATGGGCCATATCAGGGAGGATTCGTTCTATTTTAATTGATTTTAGATGTCTTTGTTACTAGGTGTTTCTATATCTGTTATTATTCTTCAAATTCTTTTTTCATTAAATTTTGATACAAATATATAGCCTGTTTTATACTTACAGACAGCTCCGATTGTGGGATTTCTTTAATTAAGGGGAACTCTGCTTGCTTTATAACACCCATAATCCCTGAGGATTCCAAAGATTTACTTGAGTGGGAAAATAGTTTCCCACTCAATTCCAGGGTCTATACAGTACTGCTAAAAGGTAAGCATAACATAATCTACATGCTTTCACTTACCAAAACCAATGTGACCTGCTAAAATACTAACCAATAAGAAAGGCTTATTGTCATTTTATGCAAATGTCAGGCAATTTCTTCTCCTCCTTTGCCCGATAATGAGCACCAAATGCAGTCACTTGTGCTCTTTTTTTTCTTGATTTTTGCAATCTTTTGGGAAATCCAGGAGCTGAAAGGTTGCTGGGACATGTAGTTCCACAGCAACAACCACCAGGCCATAATCAAGACTTTTAAAACCACAGGAACCACTTGGAAGAAAGCAGATACCCACAGTTCTTAACAGCTACAGACACGACATTCTGAGACATATAGCTGTACAGTAGCTTTGGAAGGTCTAAATGGAATACTGGATAGGAAAAGGAACATTTCCATTCTGCACAAACAATATGAAAAGGATATCTGCCAAATAAAAGGAATGACTGTAATAAAAAAATCTAACCCTGGTTAGCCCAGCCAAAATGCACAGGTGGAATGCATTCATAAAAAAAAGATAGAACCCCATAGTTCTCCTTTAACTCAATCTTCCAAATCATGTGGAAATTATGGCAGTTAGAAGGTTAACTGCACAGCTGCTACAAAATCATTGTTAGACCCTGAGCAGAAAATACAAATTCAGCTCCACAGGCTACCATATAAAAGTTAAAATGGCTAGCAAGACCTAATCAGGAGAGTCTACAAGATGTAATCAAAGGAAAATTACTCTGTAACACAGAGCTCACATGAGTCCAGATAGGAGAATCAAGCAACTTCAATCAACTAAACTACATGTGCAGATAATAGGAAATGTGCTGAGACAAATATGGAGGCCGCTACAGCGTACGTTCACCTCAAAATGCTAGCCGTCTGGCCTTCTCTGGCGTTAATATTTTCTGAGTGAATGACCGAAAGTAAGCTGCAAGTGAATTCAACACCAGATCTGCAAAGTGATTCAGAAAGTATTGAAGCCATCGGATTAGCATGACAGCCAGGCAAACAGTATGACCAAAGTAGACCTTTCTAAGTACCTATCCAGGAAGGCAGGATCTTACAAACACATTTAAATCTGCTGCCATGTTGTTAAAGCCAGCAACCATGAAGCAGAATGGCAAACCAGTCCTTGTGAAAGGAGAGCCTGATGATCTGGATGCGCTCACAGAGCATTTGCCAGGAGTCTTAACAGCTAGGCGTGCCATGTCTGTTTAGACCAGTCCGGAGCAATGAGGATAACCTTTCAGGGGAGGTAAGGCATAGATCAAGGTGCACTGATCCAACTGAGCCACCAGAGCATCCACTGCTTCCTCTAAAGGATCCCTGTACCTGAAGATAAACCTGTCCAGTTTGTGGTTGAACCTGGGGATCCACATCCTGTGCCCCCTACCTGCAACACAGGTCCTGAAACACCTACACATCTAGGGCACACTCTCCCAGGTCCATGTGCTGCTGTCAGATGAAGTCTGTCTGAGAGTTGTCCACACCTGGAATGCACATGTCTGACAAGGCTGGAATGTGAAGTTCAGCCAAGGACAGTATACAATCTACCTCTCTTGCCATGGCAAGACTTCAGTTTCCTCCCTGATGATTACTGTATGTCACAGCCGTGGCGTTAACTAACCAAATTCAGTAGGATGGTCCAGCACTGCAGAGACAGCCAAATCACTTGAAGTTCCCTGCACTGACAGTTGCCCAGGACTTCTGCCCAGGACTTCTGCCCAACTCAAGAGGCTGACGTCTGTCGTGAGGATCCGCCAAAAGACAGGAAGAAATTGCCAGAGTCCAGAGCCACCAGGCCAGGGACAACTTAAACCTCAGTGATAGACGAATTGATCTGACCAGAGGCTGGATCAGCTTGTCTCGCAATGACAGAATGCTACGTTGTAGGGGTCTGGAGTTAAACTATGCAAATGGGACTGTCTCAAAAGGGGCTGCCATCAGACCTGAAACTTTCATGTAAAAAGGAAAAGTTGCATGGCTCCTGGACTGGAAAGTCTGAATAGAAGATTGAAGTGTTAGAAGTTTCTGCTATGGAAGGAGCACCCTGGCCTAAGCTGCCCAGGACTAGACCCAGATGCAGATAACAGGCCCAAGGGCAGAGCCATGAACTGGGAGTTCAGGGGCCACACAACAAAGTGTAGAACTCTCTGATTTGCTGGAAAGATGGAGACATATGTCAGCTCCTTTGATGTCTGCAGAAGTTAGAGTGCCTCCCAGGTGAAGGGAGGTGATGCAAGATTTGTTAGATTCCATGTGGAATTTTTGAACTTGCATGAACTAATTCAGAGCCTTGAGATGAAGAATGGGGTGAGTGCCCGTTTTGGGCTTGGGAGTGGTAAACAATTTGAAGTAAAACCCCCTAGGACTGATCTGCTGCAGGAACTGGGGCAACAACACCTTAATCCAGAAGAGGGCTGTGATGGAGATCTGGTAATCTGTGCAGTGGCACAGGAAGGTTGGGGGTGAGAAACAGAGGCAGAAGCAGGGAGCAAACCTCTTTTCTGTAGCCCTGGGATACCACCACTTGCACTCAAGTCTCTGAGATGCAAGCATCTGCACAGGTAAACAAACATCCCCTCACTCTGGAAAGTGAAGGCACCCTTAATGCAGAGGAAGGCTTGCCTGATGATTTGGCAAACCAACTGCTAGGCATTGCGAGAGGATGGGGAGCCTAGGAATCTCACAGAGGGAATTGAGAAACGAAAGAGACGTTACTTAACAGACAGGGAGGTGAAAGATTTTGCAGTCTATTCTTTAGGCAGTCTATTCTTTTGCAGTCTATTCTTTCTGATGAGAAAGATGGCTGCCTTTGCCACCAGCAGCATCCCTGATGTTGTCAAAAGCTGGTCCGAAGAGACGGTGTCCCTCTCAGTTAATTAGATCAAAATGCTTCTCAAACAAGGAGTTCCACAGTCCTAACTGCCATAAGACACATGTAAAAAATGAAACGGGAGGCTTTTAGCAAACATCACAGTTGACATTAAAACACTAAGGCCATCTGATCAACACATTCTGAAAGCAAACGATCAAACTTGGCAATTGTCAAATTACTTTTACAGGGATTTAGAGCAGTCAGACATGGCTAGACAAAGTAGGGTCAAAGCCAAAATTGAATGTAGCACATGGCCTGCTGGCAAGAACAAAGCTCTAGGGCTTCTAACCACTCATTGGTTGGGTATTTAAAGACAGATGCGTCCTCAACCGGAATGATAACCACCCTATTAAGATGGGACACTGCTGGGTCCACAGTGTGAATAGAACACTTCTGCACAAAATATTTGTTAAACTAATTTATGACTAATAAGTGTTTAGGAGGAGCAAACCGCTTTTCCCATCTCTATAGAGAAATAGTTGAAATGCAGGTGCTAAGGGAAAGGCCCTGTGGAGTTTTTAAATGACCCAATGCTAGAAACAGCACTGGTAGAAGAAACAGGTTGACCCTCTAATTTCTGAGTGGATGGCACTATATCAATGAGGTCTAATTTAATTTGGGAGAAGTAGCAGTAGAATGACTCCTCAGGGGCAACCTCAACAGTCAAGGAGCTATAGGAAAGATGTCCACCCTCCTAGGATACTAGCAAAAACCTAAGGCATGCTGATATTTTAAAGTGTTATTCTGGGCTGGCCCACAGTTTATTTGTTTGCCAGTCTTCTGCTGTAGGCAGCAATATAACCCAAAGATTAAAGACTTTCTGTGTTCCTCAATGGACGAGAAATACATGGATTCAGCCTGTGTCAGTTGTAGTAAAAGCCATGCCCCCTTTGCCTTACTCCTTCAGAAATCTCAGGGCTGGGGGAGACACTGATACTTCCACCTTTCTGAAGCTGCTAACCATAACAGCAGGCCCCCAGGAAGCATTCTATGATGTATCTGAAAAAACTGTTACACATTTCTTGGAAGAAACATTTTCAGCCTTCTACCTCAACCAGTAAATTCCATCTGCCTCATACTGGCAAGAGATGAGGCCAACTGTCCCAATACTCCTTATGCTAGACACACACGGCTAGATTTTTCTTGTTTGGTCCGGTGGGTCAAACTCACTCAATTGCCCCATCCACGCTAAACAATTTGGATGGTGGAATCTCCTCTGCTAACTACCGTATTTAGACAGCTGGCATCCATCGCTGTCTGCATACCTGACTGGCTGCAGTCACTGTTCGTCTAACAATTTTCCACCCAGCTCCTTCGATTATGTAATCAAAATTTGCTGTGAAATTTGAGCCGTGTATGGCTAACATTTGAAACACTACAGCTTTATTGCTCATGCCTGTGGTTAGACAGGAAAATCCCCTAGGACTTGGTTAGCTGGAACTTCCTGTCCCATTAGGTAGGAAGAATCATCTTCTAAGTTATAGGTGTCAACAGAGAAGATGAAAACGTTGTTGTGGAAGAAAGCTCTGCACCTCATGAAAATGATTTTACAGTAAGTACAAAATCCATTTTTCATAGTAATACACAAGGCCAGCAGCCTCGGGAGACATTAGAAAGACAGAATTGGTAATGCAAAAAGCTGTATAGAGAATATTCTTTATTGAAGGGGTTGCCTTCTGAGACCACAGCAGGAACCAAGTAAATCCTGGTAAGTGTGCAGGGCTGACCAAGTGGTCATCTTGCAGACCCGCTTACCTGTAGCCCAAACCTGGAGAAGTGTTTCTTGTTTGAAATGGTAAAAAGAAGCATCAGCAGACAGAAAACCATAACATGCCCCTATATGCTAGTAAGAGATATCTGTTTTGAGCCATTAAAGCCAATATCTAGTGCACAAGTCTCTTGCCTGGTTTATAGAGGACATATATTTAGGCATAGTTTATAGACAGTGATTGTAAAAATCCATAACGCAGACCCATTGTCACTGATTTATCATTCAATCTCTCTCCCTTTACCTTAGGTACAGGTGAGTGTGTGGTTCCACAGAGACTGCGCTCTATCTCTGCTGTTGGAGTCCGTGACAGACCTCGGCCAGTTACTTTTCTCGTAGACGTATTGTCCAAAACTGAGGAAGAAAATCATGAAGAATAAACTAAACAATTGTCAGGTCTGCAAGCTCTTCAGGAAATTTGTAAAACTAAATAAATAAAACTTAAATTGTGTATACATGTATAGTTTACTTGAATCAAAGGGAGAGCCCATGCTTATGTTTGAACCCACTCCATTAACTTAAAGCTGTCATTCTACAATACATACATGCAAATCTCCCCATGCTTTGTATCTTTAAAAACAGCGCCTAACTTTCTCTCACGGGTTAACAACTCTGCTTCTGGTGTAATGCAATTCAAAGGAGTTTTATAAGCTTTGCCCTGTACTCCCCCTGCTGGACTACAGAACACACCCCGATAATATAGAGACATACAAATTGATGGTTCTTTATGAGAGTCACCAAACCTAATAAGACTTTAGTCATCAAGCATTACAAACAGCAGCAGAAATGTGTTATTAACCACTGCTGCTTTCACCTCTCTACATAGTAAAATAGTAAAACTCCAACTTTGGGGGGGGGGGGCCATTTAATGAGAGGGTTGTCCTTTTTCTATATCACTAGATGATAAAGTTTTGTGTGCGCCACTAGAAATTCAATCTGCAAGTTATGCTGCTTATCTACATGAGCTGTCTATGTCGTTATATGCCATGTCATGACTGGAAACCAGTGATGGATCTGTCAGAAAATATACAGTCTAAATCCTTGGTTCTCAACTGGTGGGTCATGACCCGAAAGTGGGTCGCGATCCCATGTTCAGTGGGTCGCCGCATGCCTTCCACTTTTCTAGATGTGAGGTTCCTCATCCTCCTCCTAGTGCAGCACTGTCAGTTCTCGCGCCAAGCAGCCATTCAAAATATGCTGCCCGGCACCGAGTGTCAGCTTGAGGTGGGGTGGGCTGGGGGTATGGCTGTGAGGGAGCTCCATCCATAAATGCATTGCTTACAGTTTCCTCACAAGTCCTATAGAGGTGCCTGGACTGAAGTGACGTCACATTCTGGCTCGTGGCACCTCTACAAGGTGCGCAAGGGAGCTGTACAAGCAATGCACATATGGATGGAGGTCCGTCACAGCACAGCAGCCCACGCTGGACCCCAGGCTGAGGATCCACTCCAGTTCTCGTAAGGTAGGGAGACTGGGTGGATCTTAAAAAAGGGTAAGAAAAATGTTTTTAGAGTGTGTGTGAGATGTTCTGTATGTATGTCACTGTTTTTCAGGGCCCATTCACACCACCACAGTGCGTTAATAGCACAGTCCTGTGCAATTAACACACAGTACCACGAAATCGCACCTACTGTGCATTCTGGTGTGGGAGGTGTGTTGCATTGCCATTCATTTGAATGGTACCCCAAACACACCTCCCACCCACGGTTCGTACATCTGCACCGGAAAGTGCGGTACCCTAATATCCTGCGTTCCATTGCAGCGCGACTTGGGTCACGACTTAATGACCAAGGACAAATGTGGGTCCTAAGGTTACACAGATTGAGAACCACTGGTCTAAATGATGTCTAATACTTACAAAGCAAAATCAACAGTTACAAATAGCAAGAAGAATTCTGAGCTCCTGAGGATTTTGCCCACTTACATAGCCAACTATCAAATGTACAAACAATGGTATAGAACCATGCAAACCAAAATATTTTAAAATCACAATCAGTGTTGAAGCAAATCAGTATTTCACTTCCACTCAGTCAGATTGCTAATCCAATTACTAACAGCTCCATTTAAAAGGAGAACTATGGGGTCAGGGCTTTTCCCCATATTTCCCCATAGTTCTCCTAAGGGTAACGGGAGGACACAAACTAGCGTCCTCCCGTCACCCAAAGCTCAGTATACCGCGAGCTACAGCTCACGGTATACTGAGACGCCTATCCAGAGGCAGAGCCAGCTGTACCCGCCCCCGTCCGTTCCACCAATCAGCGCTGGGGGAATGAGTAACAGTCACGGCTCTCTGCAGGTACAGGATCGAGAAGTGAGCGAGCGACGGTATGTGTTCGCTCACTTCCCGATCTACTGAGCCGAACTCTGACAGTTTCATTGTCACAGGTCGGCTAGAATTATGAGGCTGAGTGATTTTCACTTGCCTCATAGTTCTCCTTTAAGGCTTTGTAGTGAACTTTTGTTAAATCATTTTTTTCCCCAAATGTACTGCTAATTTGAGCTGACTGACCAGCTGACCAAAACCAGTACAGCTTGATCTGTCTTTTAAATTCTACAGTGGCTGCCACTGAGACCCTAATCAAATAATCTGTGCATGTGGCAAGCAGCATACAACACGATGCAATTATTACCATATGAGAGAAAGGGATATCATTTCCGCCTGTCAGAAGATGCTGCCTCCAAACAGTTCTACTCTGCTTTTAAAATCGAAGAAACCTTTATTTTTAGACATAATCGAGTCTGAAAAAGTAATTTAATCTGAAAGGGTTGTAGGGCATATACAGAAGTCTTAACACATGCTTGTAGCAATATTTATTACCCAACTGCAATATCTGTGTATTTTTTATTCTGCAAACATTGTCCATGAGCAACTTTGTATTTTAAAATACAGATATAAAAGTTGGTAAATGTACTCACGTGGTTTTCCTAATGTCTGTCTTTGATGCTCAGCTCTCCACTGCATATTCCTATTGCCTGGACAAGACTGCAGGCTGCTGTTATACAAGGCATCCAGTTCGGAAATATCTTGTTTAATATCCTGCTTCCAGTCCTGGCGTAGATCAAGGGAGCTCTTGGATAAGCCACATCTTATGGGCTTTCGAGCGGGGGACAAACTTGAGTAAGTACGGTGTTCCACATTTTTACCATCCATTTGGGGACTGTAATATCGACTGACATTATCAACCCACTGGTTTGTGGGCAGAGAGGCAGGCAAATGGACAGTGCTTGCAAATTTCACCTTCTTCTCCGATTTGCAGTAGAACTTCCCATGGCTACCCAAATCAGCCTCTGGTTTTGGTTCCTTGAGTGACCCAATATTTTGCAAACTGGAACCATTTATATTACAAAAGCCATCCTCAGATTCTGGGGAAGTGCTCGTTTGATCTGTGCTGACGGATTTATTCTCTTGGCTAATCAGAGGTTGCGGATTAGACTCTGTATCTAGGAGATTTAAAGAATCTTGAATTTGATCACCAATTGAAGGCTTCTGCTCAAAACTGTCAATTCCTGTAAAATTCACACCAAAACTACTTCTCTTTGGTGAACCCCCTTGCAGCCTTTGAAACTGCTCTGCCAGCGAGCGCACTAACCCTTTACTTTTAGGTGCCTCAACTTTGTTGGGCTCAGAGATATTTAACTCAGATGGTTTATCTAATAAGGTATCCTGGCTGTTTGCCTTAGATGACACATTGGCTGGTTGAATGGTAAATCCTGTTGAACCAGCTGGAGAAACTGAAGTGACACTGGAGGAACCAACTTTGTCTTCACTTGCATGGATTTCTGTACTGACAGATTTGTGACAGTAAGTCGGTGGGTTGCTTTTGTCCGGAGACTGCACTTGTGTGCGACGTGCCCATGGAAATAGTAATGATGGTAAAGAGCCAGATTTAATGCCATTGAGCTTCATCTTCCTGAGAGTAAGGAGACCATCTTTAGCTTCGTGCTCCTCAGCCACCTTACCATTATCAGGACTTCCATTGTTACTTCTTTCACCCTTTTGCTTTTTGTTATGAGAATCTGGGCTAGAATTCTCTGTTCTCACCATTTTATCAGCCGTGCTTTGTACAGAAGATGAGGCACTCTCTGGGGAATTGGGATCTGTAGGAGCACGGTAGTTTGCAAATGTCTTGCTACATGGGCAATGCTCAGAAGGTGACAAGCTGGAAGACTCAGCAGGCGAAGGAAGCAACTCATGGCTAGAGGCGAACGAGTGTGTTAATGGAGTAGATGCAAAGTCCTCCTTTGTGTTTGTCTCCGGCATGATCTGTCGCTTCATTGGAATTTTGTCCGAGATAGTCTGGTCACTGCAATTAAATGTATGATTATTATGTATTATTTACTTCATCTCTACTGACTAGGAAAGAATGCCTGAATATTGGGAAGGGATATCTTGTAGGCCTTTCAGGTAAATACCTTTGCTGTATCAAATATCTTAGTGACCCAGTCAACACAGTGTCACTTTGTACTGAATGTAAAAGCATATAATAGAAGGGGGAATATACTCACCTGTTTGTTGAAATGCCACCTCTTTGCTGTTTCCTGCCACTGCAACTATTCCACACTTTTAGGTGTGGGGAATACCTGCTCCTATGCCACACGCTGTGGTTTCTCTTGACTGCTCATACCTCACTGGAGATACAAGCAAGGAACTACAGTGTGCGGCGGGGGAAACAGGTATTCAACCCATCTGTTTGGCCCAATGCTTGCTGCAGTGAAGAGGTTGCGTTTTATCAAACGGGAAGTTGGAAAGGTAAGTATATTCCAACTTTACAGGTATGCGTGCACATACACATAGTGTCCCTGTGCTGACAGAGTGACTTTAAAAGTGACAAGTATTGAAGGAAAATGTCAATAATATATGACGACTATAAAATGCAAGAAATGAATATATGAAAATGATCTATGGCGGAACCACAGTCGTATTCAAACCTGAACTGGAAAATTACAGTAGAATTAAAGAATGAGACTGGGTGTAATGAGACAGCACTGATGGTCATTACTTCAGACAACATTAATAAGCCCTGCCTTCAACTGGTCTAAGGAACAGAAAGTCCTACAAGATGTCCTTTTCCCATTATTGGGTGATTTTTCAACCACAATGAATGTAATTGAGAAATCTAAATAACAAAATATGACACAATGGAGAGCAGATATTAGTTAAGCCTTTACAACTTCCAACACAATGCAAGACACATCAATACGACCAAGCTGCAACAGCATTAATGACGAACACAAGGGTGTCACTAGCTAATATGTTTAGGAGGCAACTCATTTCCTAAAGCTTTACTGACAATATTTTTCGAAAACCTAATAAAAATGTATTTATTTTTTGTAATGAATGTGGGTTAAAGTTTCTATATATGAAGTTTTGATTCAACAAGGTCATGCGACATGTGCTGAATGTTCAGATTATTTTCTTTGATTTTTAAATGTATTTGCAGGCTGACACATGCCCCTTATATGGCGGAGTGGGTGAGTTGGTTTATGACACAAAGAAAACAGTTGGAGCTCTGACTTAAATTTTCTTATTTGATTTGTTAACATACATTTATTTTGCTATTCTTCCAGCTGGCACTTGAAATGCTAAAGTTAGGATTATAATCATGGGCTAGAGTTAGGATTATAATCATGGGCTGAAGTCTCTCTTTTCCTAAAGCCACTCCTAATGGTAGCCACTTAAAAGAAGACCATCACCCAATTTAACACTCCTAACATTTTCTTTTAAAGCCAAACTAAAACAAAAGTCCGTCTGTTGTATTACCCTGGGTCACCGGGGCTTGGTGTGTTCTAACTACATCACTATTTGATGAAGACTTTGTAAATGGGACTGCATTTTATGTCACACCCTGAATACGGGTGTAACATAAAACATGGTATTAAAGGTAAAATGAGGAAAAGGAATTAGACTGGTTAAAAACAATATAAATAGAATTTTGAAATGGTGATTTGTGAAAAGAACAAATCACAATAAAATCAAGGGCACCGATCTCTCAATTTTTACAGGACTAGGGCTTAACTGGTTGTTCCTTTTTTGTGTTAATAAAGTTCTGTATTTCACACCTGTATCACTACACTATCCATAAGTAATGGTGGAAGTTCATCTCATATTAAGAGATATTATATTTGCTCATCTGCAAGTGACTAGTGCAAGCTCTTAACCCCTGGTTCTATATCTTCTCAACACTAAGGTGTAGGGATCACTTTGGGCAGGATGGCGTTTTTGTGCATGCTACTTGAAACCTCTGAATGTTGTTTCTAAGTGGTGAGGTTTCCTATAACTCTTGCAAACGGTAAAAGCAAAAAGGATCAATGATCAGACCCAAATCTGTTTTGAAAGCACTCCACTAGCATTGCACCAAAATGCATTTTTTATTCACATAACAGCCATCCCTTGACCTTCATCCACTGTGGTATCAGATCACCATGTTACTGAATTAGTGAGCAGATCCAGTATGACTAAACCTAAGGTTGTAGAGTAGAAAATCATAAGCAGGCACAATTATCTGCTTTTGTGAAGGCATATTTAAAAAAATAAAATGGGCTGAAAATCTCGGCTTGTACTCGAGTATATACGGTATTTGCCTTTTTTATTGCCTATGTTCCCCAAAATACAGGTAAATTGCCATTTAGGTATAGATTTCCTTTAATTGGATGTTAAACCATTCTTTAGAACAACAATTCACTAGATCAGTGCTTCCCTATAACCAGTCTTCATGTCTCACCAACAGCTCCAACGTTGTGGCTTTTACACAGGGAGTTAAACCACATTGGTGTTATATCAAGTACTCATCCCTGTGCATGTGTGACATTACCAGTAAAACATGCACTCTTGGTGGAACTTGAGGACAAGTTTGGGAAACACTGCACTGAATTACTCCTAATAAAGGAAGTTTCATTGCAGCTACCTTGTAGATTGATTTATAGCTCCCCCTTGTGGTGAGGGGTAAGCTGGTGGCAGCGCTTGAGGAATTGCCGGCGGCAGCAGCATGTGGTCCTGGAGACTTCGTGCTTGTCGTAAACACATTTGAAACTTCTGATCTGCTAGGGCTCTGCAGTGTGTGCTAGATCTGGCATCATGCATGGCAAGTCTGAATTTAGCTAAAATGCAAAAGAAAAACATAGCAGAAACAAATGCACGCACACAAAACAAAATATAAAAAAGAAAAAACAGGATGCATAAAAGAGCAGAACATGGGAACATGCAATACAGAGGAAATTAAGTAATGTCTTTTTTTTGTTTAGATCATCAACAATGAACATTTATGTAAAGCAATGCACCCTAAATATGTTAATGTATAGAACTCAATTGATATGAATTCGATTTGACTGGCAGTGGGAACAGGCTCATCAATTATTGCATACCTTCCAAAAAAAAAGAAAGAAAAGGAAAACAAAAGTGAGATAACAGTCTGCTCTGTTCTCTAAAACTTAATTCCCGACAGTGACAACCTGTGCAACTTAAAATTACAAATCATTTTTTCCCAGATGAATCCAATCTGCTTTTAAGAACTGTAAACAGAGGGCGGAATAGTGTGAGGAGGCCATTATCTCACTTGGAGGTATGCAATTAGTATACAAGAGAAAAGAAGATTGAAGATGGATTTCACCGACTTCTTTAAAAGAATTAGAACACTTTACAAGAGGCAGTACTAGTAAACACCTAACCTCCACCCAACTGGACTGCAGCAATCACTCTAAATAGTAATAAACTTGGTAAATGGAACTGCTATGATGCCAGTAAATTACAGGCCTGCTGTAATCACAAGCCATTAGTAAAAGGGATCCTGGGATGGAATAATAGATATTCCCTACAACGTCTTCACCTGTAACCTGCAAAATTCCGAGGTTTGAAGAATCAGGCCCTTTGGTCAATTGCCTGGATCCAGCCATCCTATGCCAGATCTACAAGTCCACTGCTTTTGGGTCCATCCTAAACACTTTTTTCCTTCTGGTTTAATTATTAAAGAAAACCAGCAATGAGAGAAATATGAAGGTTGCCATTGCTGACCTCCTTCTGATGCTAGTTGTCTAGCTGTGGCTCAGAAGTCTTTTGCATCCAGAGAATTCAGAACACTTTACATATATTAATTTCATGCATCAGTGACCATCAAAGCCACTGGATGGGCACAACTAGCACTTATAAAAAGGACCGGTCAACAAAGGTTTTAAAGAACCCCCTCAAAGTAGATATTTTAGATATAATTGGACACTGGTGGCTTAAATCAGCCACTAGCTGCCTGGACTCTCTTGGGGACCCAGTCATATCCCTTCTGGTTCCAACTACTCCAGGAGAGAATTTTACATGTCTGTTGCAGGAGTCTTCAACAGCATGCTGTTCTTCCCATATAGTAATGGCAGTAGCAGGTAGGTGGAGCTGGGCACTCTGTTGTCCAAGGCACAAAGATAAATGTAACCAGCAGGCTACTTGTAACATCCAAGTAGGCTATTTAGCCTCTTGGCGTCTACTTAAAATGCTAATACTTCAGCTGGACTAGAAGAAGAAAAGAACACAGAGATACCAAGTACACAGGATGTACTGGTAAGCCTTAAGGTGCCCATACACTGCACGATTATCGTACGATAATCGTATGCGATCGGTTTTTCGTACGATAATCGAGCAGTGTGAACGGAGACGTGCGACCGTTTCTACTGTACGGTCGCACGTCTTCTGTCGAACCAGCATGTTCGAAAACCAGCCGGGAATCATACGATTCTCGGCTGGTTAGAACGGTGCTCGGAAGACAAATGCCGAACTGGCCGGTGTGCACACGCGCACACTGCCCGTTCAGCATTGCGGTCATCAGAAGCCCGCCCCTCAGGGGGGCGGTCATCGGAAGCCCGCCCCTCAGGGGGGCAGGCTTGCGATGATCGAGAGTGCCCGCCCCTCAGGGGGACTAAAGTCTTGCGATGGTTGTAGAGTGTATGGGCACCTTTACAAGGAAACTACTCTGACTCTGCAATCAGGCAATGCGTGGGTCCACAGGTAGAGGTAAAGCACCCTTTTTTTTTTTCAACATGTAGGCCGTTCATGATCTTAGGATCAGTAAAGCTACTGCTGGTGAGAAATCCCACAGCAGCTTCATAAATTTGGCCTAGTAACTGAACAATGCCTGACCTTCAGCTGGGAAGAAAAAAATAAGTAATTAAAAGCCCTTTCTGATCCAAGTTACAGCCAGATGAAAGAGCTGTTTTGTTACACTTGTCACATGAAAAATAATTGGAACCTAGAGCACTGTTTCCATCCTGCAAAGCCTCTTTTGTAGAAACACGGGCAAAGCAACAAAAGCAGGAATAACAAAGCAATGGAGTATTTGGGGTTAATAGCAAACTGCAAGGATTCTGTTGAAAAACAAAAACAAATCAGAAAACAAAAAGGTCACCTTCTACAGCCAATAGCTGAGCCACAACATGTTAAAGCATGCCATGTTAAACAAGACATAAGGCAGACTTGAGCATTGGTTATGAGTTACTTACAAATAGCTTCATTACACAGTGCCATAGCTGTAGTGTAATCTCCCTTCTGCTCCAGCCTCAGTGACTGTTCAAAGACGGAATCTGCCTCCTGGATGGACCGATCAAAGCTGTCACTCCTTCCTGTAATAGCCATATAGAATTGTCCATTTCTTATATTCTTCTTATGTGGCTTACAAATAAATAAAAAAAGTCCCTTCCATCAGCTTTCTCATAGTTGCTATGGCCACAGGGGCAATGTTGGAAAGCTTCTTTGGAGCGCACCACTTAGCAACTCTGCTCAGCAAAACCATGTTGTTATTTTTCCTTTGAGAAGCTTGTGTCCGTCACAATGGGCACAGACAACTGCCAAGCACAGCTAGCTGACATTTAGCTTTATTCAGTTAACATTTTAAAAACAAAGCAGTTTATGTTCCGCATGACCTTGAAACACCTAATCACCATTAAGAGGTGAAAAGCGTACAAACTGTATCTAAAAACGATTTGTTCACATCAGATCAAATGTTATAAAGCCTTCCTGAAGCAACATTGTACATTTTGTTTCTGGCTTACAGCTATGTGACCCCTTGAAACTGGTACAAATCTTTCCTTGAACACCATTTGTAGAAGAAAATAAATGACAGACTGTTGATCCCCACTGCTAAACTGAGATAGGCTGACATGGCTTTCTCTTAGCTCAGATATTGAAACACAAGAAGTTCTGATCACCGCAGAAATGTTGGTTGGAGGAGACTTGCACCTTTTTCTAGAAGTAACATAGCTATAAAAAAAAACCCCATACAGTTGGGTGGTTTGGGTAACGAATGCACAACTGAAACTGCTAATAGGCTAACAAGGATCTGGTGTATCAATTCATTCGTCACCGTCAAGTGATTCATCCAGTGTACGGCACATGGCCATATTTTTATCAGTCTGAAATAACAATGCAGCTGAGTTAGTATTAACAAATAACTGTTTGAAGGAGAGTTTGGAGCCTGCTATAATTTAAAGGCGTTCATCGCGGATAGGGAAGTTGACCTGGTTTTGAAGGTATAGGCTCTGAAGTGGTCAGTCTTATCCTTCCTATACCACTTTGTGGTTCACTGTCCCATCACTTGTTAATAAAGCAAAAAAAAAATATAAGACAAACCCAGAGCCTGCACCCTGGAAAACAAAATCAGCTGTGGCAGCTCCCATACCACTAACCTGACGGGTTCCTTTCATTACTATTACACTCCATCACATAACACACACACTACAAAGCGGATGACAAGTCTGAAAAGATAGAACGCAGGTCTCATTACTAAGCTGTAAGCTAGTTTTCATGTCTGCTTTAAGACATGATGAAGCCAAGTTATTAAAACTAGGATACAGCTAAAAACTGTTAGCCGTCGTCTTTTTATAATTACATACTGTATCGTTTTTGTTCATTTGATTTGGTTTATAAAACAAAATTATGGACAATATAATGTTAAGCAGAGTGAACCTGACCTTTGAAAATTAAAATACAGATTCTGTTCTACGAGAATAAAAAATGTGATCGCACCATTTATAGTCTAGAAGAAGAAAAAAATACTCTGAAGCGATCACATGATTAGCTCATCCTAAATGAATAGTATTTTCGTCTATCAGCTTAATAAAGTTTAGGCAAAATGACACCGATAATATTAGAATGCTCCGTTATACTTTGCACTGGTTTAGTGGAAGGCTATTTGGCTTATTTTTTTTTAAACCTTTTGAAACAGGTTTAAACTTAGAAGAATCTCGGGCGGCCACAAAGGATCTTGGGGCAGGCACATGCGCAGATCAGATGTTCGGCGGGGAGACGAGGAGAGACACAAGGTAAGTCTATGGAGCAGAGTGCACCCACACAGACACTGTGGGACATCAGAGAAGAGGAGGACAGAGGAGTCGGCGCTGGATCGGAGACCCGCACCAGTGCTGGAGGGACAGCTGAAAAGGACAGTAAGGAAGATCGAATAAAGAGGCATTAATTAAAGGTAACACTAACATTGGGTGGGGGGGGAACAAAATAGCCTTTAATGTCACTTTAACTAAATTTAGAAACCAGGAGGACAAATTCCATATTTGTGACCCTAGAGGTAACTTAATTGTAACACACCCAAATATATAGATAGAATGCAGAAAATTACCCTGATTCTGTAACTCATCCACGTCTAAAAAGCGGCGGGGTCGTGGATTAAAGCCCATAGCGGCCTCAATTTCCTTCTCCCGTTTCCAGCGCAACTCCTGCTCCCTGGCCCTTCTCTGCACTTCTTCCTGAAGCTCATCTAGCTCGGTCTTCAAAGGAACAGGGTTTTCTGTTGCTGTAACTATAATGCCAGAAACTATTAAAAGAATTCTTCAAGCTTCATTTTGAGAACAGACTTACTCAAAAGGAGATTGGAAAGCACAGTGATTATGGCTGCTATGCAACCACCTTTTGGGCTAGCTGGAGGCACCGACGCAGTCAGTATTAAGTTGGTGGAATGGGAAAGCAGAGGCCATTTCTCTGTACATTTTACTAGCTCTGTGTTGAAGCTACCACAAGCATAGCCCTGTAGGAGAATATACTGTATATAGTATATATTTATATCTTATGCCGCTTGCATGAAAGATGACATACCAACAATATAATACATAGTGCCTTGGCAGCGTAAGCTAATTGCACAAATACTGTACTAGGTAAGCAATGTGTCCAATACAACATATCTCAAAGAAAGAAAGGCTGTGCTGAGTTTCTAGAAATAAGTCGAAATCCAGATGAATGCATTTGTCTAGCTTACCAACGTGTGACGGATGCACCTTCACCCAAACACTGGAAGCAGAATCCGCCATATCCAATGCGTTGCTGCTCTGAGACTTTGGAATGCTTCGCCAGGTAGGAGCCGGAGCTGTACCGGGACTTTTCCTTGAGTGATATTCCCTTTGATAAAAAAAGATTGCTCATTTATTCTGTAATTGAATGTAGCACTGATGACACTTTTTCTGCATCACTTTACAAATAGCCCAGAACCCTTCACTGTGGTCCCTGGCCCACAATTGAGCTCACAATTAAATGTTCATACCTCAGTAATACACATACTGGGAACTTTTTTGGTGGAAGCTAAGGTGAAAAGCCAACCTACTATCCAAAGCTGCAAAGTAAGAATGCTATTAAATTTCCTTTGAACGGATACTGTGGGAAACACACTTTCATCTTCAGAATGAAGAAGACACTGATATGAGTAAACATATCCAATGACACTTTACCGAATATCCTTGCAATGTGAGGGCAGCTAATCTGCCACCTGTGCCAATCAATTTGACCATGTCATGCTGAGAGCAAAGCAAATTGCTGACAGCTTGTAATTACATCATAAGAACTGACCTTTTACCTGGGTTAGACATGCTCAGCTCTAACATATTGAGGAGGAGGCATTGCCGTACACTGGAATAAAGGTGCCCATACACTGCACGATTCTCGTACGAGAATCGCAGGAAATCCCGCGATCGTACGAGAATCGTGCAGTGTATGGAAGGCGTGCGACCGTTTCTACTGTACAGTCGCACGTCTTCAGTCGAACCAGCATGCTACGATTCTCAGCAAGTTAGTGGCCTGCTGGTTCGACAACTGCCAAACGGGCCGGTGTGCGCACGCGTACACTGCCCGTTTGCAGTCATCGTAAGCCTGCCACTCATTACAGTCATCGGAAGCCCGCCCCTCAGGTACGATCTGCCTGTCCAAGATGGGCAGATCGTACGTTTTTTTAAGTACTTTACAACCCTCGCAAGACAAAAGTCTTGCGAGGGTTGTAAAGTGTATGGGCACCTTTAGAACTCAAAGTTCTTTGCAGGAGTCATAGCAGACTTGGGAACACCAGAGAAAAGTATTATAAAAGTAATTACTAATCTTGTAAAATTAGGATGCGGTTACGCGACATAAAAATATATGAATTGCTGGATAATAAACTCCTACAAAAAGGAAGTTAAAAAATGTGTGCACATTCAACATGAACTGTTACATCTTTAACTCTTTACACCTCTAAAGTGGATTACAACTTTCTGCTATTACTGCATCTTTACATGCCAAAGTTATAAAAGCACTTAACATATATGTAACTGGATGATGTTTTGTTTTTGCAAACACTGCGTATCCTGAACAATTGCCATGGTTTGTTTGTTTTTTTAATATTGTTTTTCCTGTTTTTTAATCCTTTGTTGTATCATAGTGCTGCTGATCTCCTTCTTGTTTGCATACATGCACCCTGGTGATGGCTTTATGACATTTCTCAGGGCGGGTTTCTTGATGGTGACAACAGTGGACAAAGTCTGTATGGTGAATAGTTCACTTGTAGTCTCCAAGGGAAGCCCATGTGACAGGGTGAAAATACAAGAGTGCAAGGGAGACAGAACACTGTTACAGTATAAGGGGAAACCCTCACACAAGGAACTTCATGGCAGGATCACCAGCTATTATTTTAAGGAAAGCTGCATGTTAAAAAATATTGGAAAATACTTTTTAATTTACATTAACATGTTAAAACCTATATGAGATTTTATCGATTGGGTCTACATATACGTTAATATAAACTTTTGTGTACCCCCCACAGTGGTCAGCCCTTTAAAAATTCTCTCAGATCCAAAAGGGAAAAAACCCAATTCCTCTTATGGCAGTAGAAGTAAAAAAAAAAAAAGAAAAAAGAGTGATCCTAGTGGTAAAACTGTGTATTAAATCAAACGAAAGAAAGCAAAGGTTCACATGAAAAATGACTTTACCTGAACACTGTCCTAACCACACACCAGCTGATTGGCTGGGATAAGCATCCCGACATCACAACAACTCTGCCAAATGCATTACAAAAATTCAGGGCTTCTTCAGGAGTAACAAAAGCATTCCAATAAGCCGTACATAGAACAGTGATTCCGTCTTTTTGTGGGAGTGTCTTTGCCTGCGTTTGTTTTATCTAATAAACAGTAGTTCACCACAGTGAGGTGTTTTTTTCTGAATACTAAACTGCCATCAGGGAATTTGAAGTTTTATTGATTAGATATGAAAGTGAGGTCAGAATGGACCTTTTAAAGGAATAACTACTGTGAATAACACTGGGGAGGTGGTCTCATATGACGTTTTACATTTGAAGGTCCTGTAGTAACTGCAAGTTGCAGTCCACCGAGACGTGTAAAGGCAGCAAAACTAACATTTAAATGTGCATGATCTTCTCTCAATTAAACCTATGGAATTTATTATGCGGGACTACATATACTCGCCCTTGATTTTCACTTACCAGTTTTGTGAAAGATTCACAAGATCTGAAGCAAGCTACCTTTCCGTTTATCTGTGGTTGTGTGATTTAATCATTTTAGAGTCAGACAATGCTTAGCTGAATTCTTTAATAAGTTCGCCTCCTGACTTACCGAAAAGCACTACAGTTTTCTGATAAAGGCAAGTCCATGCTGACGGGACTATTGCTGTTCCGTTCACTGCTTTCATAGCCGGACTCCATCCTCTGGATGAGACGGGGCTGCTGGTGATCACCAAGGTGAGGAGCGCCGCGTCCCACACCCCAGTTCCTGTATTTCACACATGGATGCCTCTCCTTTAAATCAGAGTTGCCGTTCTCTCGTTGTTCACTGACTGAAAATTCCTTAGCTTTTTGCATGAAGGGCAAGAGATAAAGACAATATCAGAATATGAAATGTGATCCTCTTAATTTCCCAGTCCCCCCATGTGTGGGAATGATACACAAATAGACCAGACAAGAGCAAAGGTCTTCACCCTCACCATAGTCTTATGGGGCAATTGTGGTATAACAAGTGACTGCACTACAGTGTATGAAGTTACATTTATAAAAAGAGTCGATTAGACTAATGTTAATGTTAAGACTGAATATGCTCTGTAAATCGGATGAGAGATAGGTTCCCTTCAAAATTCTTATAATTGGCTCAGGAAACCTAATATATGACAGAGGCAACTAAAAACACCATGTCTATTGGTAGAATACCCAGGCTGAACAAGGAGAGACCTAATTACTAGCACAGTCATGGTATCCCCACTTGACCTGAGGCTCCTAAGACATATTGCACAGAAAAATGTTTCACTGAAAATAAAAAAAGAGTTTACCTTAGAGCAACCAATCAGTGTTTCTCTTGCACCAAAATGCCTTAGCAACAGATAAGGCAGATGCTGATTGGTTGCTAAAAGGGGAATATCTTCTATTCAACAGAGACATCCACATCGAAAATATTTTGGGTTGGAGAATGTTTGGGGCACTTCATGAAATAAGAATTGCTTTGGGTTACTGTACTTTAAACAAATTAAGGGCCCAATCACACCACATGCGTTGCTCAACGCAATGACAAGCTAAAATCCAGTGTTGCCAAAATGCCCAGTGTGCACCAACATGCTGCGTGAAAAAGGAACATGCTGCATATAAACGCATTACAATGCAATACAATGCAATACAATGCAATACAGCACGCTTCAATGAAAAGTATCTTTGCTCTGCGAAATAAAACAAAAATTGTAAAAAATGCACATCAAGGCAAAGCATAAAAAAAAGCATGTCATGTCTAGTGTGTTTAGCGCAAATCAATGTCCACTAAACGCGAAGAAAGTGATGTGAACATGAGCAAGTAGGAAGCTATGGTGGGCAACCTTTGTAAACGGTCCCTGGAAGAAAGTAACGTTTAGGCCTCGTTCACACCATCCTCAGTGCGTTCCGGCCCGATAGTGGCCGGAACGCACTGGATCGCATTGAGGCGGGAGGGGGGCATGGCGGTGCATTGAAGTGAATTCATTTTTTATGACCGGACCGCAGGCATTGATGTGCCTTGCGTTCCTGTGCAGCCGATCGCATTGCGGCCGGAGGTCACTTCAATGCACCGCCACGCCCCCTCCCGCAACACAACAAACTGAGCCGGCCGCAATGCGATCCAGTGCGTTCCGACCACCGTCGGGCCAGGAACGCACTAAGGATGGCGTGAACGAGGCCTTATATAGGGAACCCGAATCACTACTCAGAACTAAATAAAGGGCTTTGGGTATTGGCTGGAGAAATGGCTCACCACAGGTTACAATGTTTCTGAATAGTGTTATCAACAAAACAGTGTATAACAAGCTAAGCTAAGTAAAGAATCAATTTTTCTAGGTGTTGAGAACAAAAAAGGCTTACCAGGGTCTTCTGCAAAGGGACAAAGTGGACTATATGTAGAATTAATCCTCTTTTCTGACCTGAATATACTGTCCACATTTAAGGGCTCCCGTGTGGGGCGCCAGGGAGGTCGATACCTATTAGATAAGCCAGACTTTGCCTCATTGCTGTTGTTTTCCAACTCCCAGTCTCTGGGTTGTACTGCTAAACTGGACAGTGGCTTAATCTCTGTCTGATCTACAGCACTTCCAACGTGATGCAAGCTTTGCATTGTCTGTGACGCCTGTGATGGTCTGTTGTGAATCATATTGCTAACTGTTGCTTTAAAGTCTCTCAGTCTGCTTGAACTGCTGGAAAGTTTCAGCCCTGCTCTTGGAGCCTGCTTCTCCTTCAGAGTTTCACCTAAGACAGCAAAGAGCGAAGCAAATCAGAAAGCAGCATCTTACAAAAAGAAAACACAATAAATGAAAATTAGGAAATGATAAAGAGTAAGAAGTCTGTTAATACCGCAAGTCAGACCTTCACTATGATATCCCGATGACTGGGATTCATCTCCTTTTCTCCGAGGTCGGCTGGAACTGCGCTTTCGGTCAGTCAAAGGTCCTTTCCTTGAAAAGTGTCGCTGATTACACTCGCTGTCTGTTAGATGTCCTGAATGCAAGAACACAAACTATGATACATAAGATAGACAACTACGTAAACCAATCCCAGGGGTACAATCAGGAAAACAACTCCCTCATGCCCAGGATATTTTGAACCCTTGTAACAAGAATGATTCTAATCAGGAGGCTTTAGCTGTTTCGCCAGTAAGCTACAATGTACTCAGACACAGGAAGCAGATTATTTCCTTCTGCCCCAGGAAAATACAAGGTAGATAGAAACTAATATGATTGTGAAGAATTAAATTGGATCTCCAGGCAAAACTTTTTATTTTACTGGCAGGAGATGTAATGCTTCCACATTCTATCCAAAACGAAAAACATTTGGTTATACATATACTTTAATGTATCCCAAATGTGGCAAATACCCCAAATTATGAGCAATGGTGTTTGCTAAACAAAACAGACTGGAAAATCCATATTGCACCAAAACACCAGCTGCTGCAAAGCATTAGTGCTTGCCAATACCGGGTTATATTTTTATGTCTCGTTACTGCATTTATGGGACTGACTTTTTTTTTTTTTTTTATATTGTTGATGGCAAGTTTTTAAAGTGGGACTATTTTCGATTAGTTCAGCTAAGTGACCTCTAATGCTGGACATACTATGTCTGGAAAGCTGCTGGGGATGCTAAAATCTTAGTTGTATTCATACCAGATACTACTGGTCGGCTCTGCTGCTGTGAGTTCTGGCCTTCACAGAGCAAGAAGAGAGTCACTCACTCACCCCCCCCTACCCCTCATCCATTCATAAAACATCTTGTATTTTTTCCAGGTATACAAGGCTTTCTGTCAGGACAAGGGGTGGTCCTTGTGTTCAACCACCCCTTCTCTCCCACTCTGTGGGAAGAAGAGAATATACTGCTGGTGGGGCCACTGTTAAATAGAAATGTATGAGCAACATTAAAATGGTGGTCAAGAAGTTATTTTAATTTGACCTTTAAGTTAAACATCTTCTAATTACATGCAGCTGTCAATAGTTTACATCATTCATTTCCGTAGTCCCTTGTGCCATAAATATACTTTTTTTAAATTATCCATTAACCAAGGTGAAGATTGCAAAGCTAGATGTCCAGAAGCTTTTCCGTACAAGCCACATACCCGTATCTCTGCTACTCTGTGACGCAGCATCGCTCTCAAGGTTGTAGATAACGGTGCCTTGTGAGTCAGAGGAGAAATGGCTCACCACAGACTCATGATGTGAGTGCTTGTAGTGACAGCTGTCTGTGGAGGAATCTGTCCTTGTATCACTGGAGATAGAAGGCTCCCTGCCTGATGGACAATACAGAGATCACAGAAATTAGAAGAACGTCAGGAAAACAACAGATTTCACCATATTAGAATAAGTTAATAAAATAAAGCTACCAACCAGACCAGTGAGAGCATGCTATACATTGTCCAATTCTCATAAAAAAGTATACAAATTCCAGGCATCAGAAGACAACATTCCATTATCTATGAGTGTCTTAAATCACAAGTGATAAAAGGTAGCTGCATTAAAATGGACCTACTTTCAAAAATAAAATTATTGTTATGTTAAAAGTCTTGCTATAACCTCCACTGTGCTCTTTCTGGTGGCTGATCACAATATTGCAGCCAATACACAGTTTACTGTATGATGTTAATGCTGAAAGTGCCTTGGGGGGATGTGTGCTCAGGTAGAGACAGCCAATTAGAGGATCTACCTAAGTACGATCCTCACAGTCAGCAAAGACTGTGTGACCATTACCTTGGCATTAATCAAGGAACTGCCATCTGTGGGCGCTCACAGTACTGTTTTTAAGCAAAATACATTTTACACTCCTACCTTTAAGGTTTAATCAACTGCAGCTGGTATAGCTACAGAATGTTAACTTACTCTTAAGTATAGCACTGCTCTAATCCAATACTTAAGTCTTGCATGGGCTTCCAAAGTATTGCCCCCGGTTGTGATGTGCATAGCACAGTTACAATATATACATGTAAGTGCTGCAGCAGCTGGAAATATCATTACTGTTACCGTTTGGCGTTTTTGAAATGTTCAATGAATTGAACAAGGAACTACTATAGAGTCATAATTGTGTTCATACTTTTAAGTTCTTTTCTGAACATAATGGGAGGACCCAAGGCAGGAAATGTGTTCAAAATTATAAAATACATACCCGAGTCCTCACTGTCATAACAAGTTCTACTGTACTGTCGCAGATCCATCATGTCTGGTACAGTTACTGGCGTTCCCCTGGGATCAGCATATAGAAGCAGTAGTGGTTGGTAATGACCTTTAATACACTTTGTCACCACATCTTTCCATTTTGGACCAATCTGAAGGGAAAAAGGAAGAGCACATGATGAAAATAATAATTTGGTTTGCCGTATAGTGTACATTTGTTGCCAGCTGAATAGCAGAAGGATGTATTCACTACAACACTTAGTCCCTAGACCAAAACGAGCACCTAACAAAAAAAATATACTCACCCAATCCTGGATCCCGCTTAGCTCTTCACCTCTTCTCCCCCTGGGCTAGTCTAAGGACCCATCATGTCTAATGCAGGTGCAATAGACACGAGGCCTGCAAGGGACATACCGCAGAAGGAGCAGAGTGGGAGAGAGGTGAGCGGTTACTGCCATAGGACTGAGGGTCAGGTGAGTGTATATTCTTTATTTTTGCTCCTAGACCAAAACAAGAACTTAGCCTTTGTACTGCGGGGGTATCCCCACTGCAGGGTTCATTTAAAAAAGCCTAGAGTTCTTCAAAAAGGTGCTTTCCCTGCATCTTCTAAGACATCTTTCTGGACTTCTTGATGTCCTCATTTTGCTGTGTGTGCTAGGCAGATGAGTCCTAAGGGTACAGGCCCCGGTGGCTGGTTGCTTCAGAAGTTTGTCTACGTTGACCTTCTTGCAGCATATCAGAAAAGGTTGCAAAGTTTCGTAACCACAAATGGTCCCTTCATCAGGCAATGGGTGGTTTGCCACACTGATTGAAAATTTCTGCACTCACCTAATCCTCTCATGTAAAATATATATAAACCTATACAGCAGAGTGTGTGTAATATCCCTAAAAGGAACCTGAAATAATGTTTAGTAATTCTTTGCAATATGCAGATTATTTTTTTTCTCAACAAAGCCAGGCTCCTACATTGAAGGTGGCTCTAGTTTGGTTCACCTATACCTATAGACACTGTTAAATACATAGTTGTAAAAAAAAATACTTGTCATTTTAAAAACAGCCTTATTTCAATAACGTATCCGAATCTCAGAAAACATATCTAGTTGGTGGCTATGGGTCAAATGTATATAATTAGTACAACTCTGCAATCAGTGTACACAGAGTTTGTTTTAAGGTTTGACTTGAACGCTAGTGGTGAAGAGCATCAGGTTCAACAAGTATGTACTAAACAGCTACAAAACTTTGACAGAAGAAGTGTTTAGACGTTTTCTTGATGTCCTGAAAACACACGTCGACACCAGTCTAGTTACGCAAAATGCAATGCTGTAACAAGCTAAATCATGCTGAAGCTACAGCCTGCTCTCCCATTAAGAACACTTCCACACTGGAACTAGATGGTGATTTGAAGTGTATTTCCACTTTGAGGAAACCCCTCTAAGTTTATGTGTTCCTATTCATGCCGCAAACAGAAAAATAATTTAAAAAATATTTATTAGCCTTTCTAGCGGTTTGTTTGGAGTAGAATTACACAAAGGACAACATAGGCAGCCCTAGTGCTAAGAATAGATTGACAGAGGCACAGTATTTAAAGAAAAAAAGGTCTTGAACATGCAATGCCATAAGATCTGAAGGTATGAAAAGGAACAAAATAAACTTTAAGGGCTTCAAGAAAGCTGCTCAATTTCAAAATGTTTATCATCTTTGTGCTGGGGCTAAAGCTCTTCACACTGGTGTTTACAAGCTAAGATTATTAAATGCCTACATGTATCAGGACTTAATAAGCATGTGTCAGCAATAATTTTGGCAAAGACAAGTAACTAAGTACATAAGTACAGGGAAATACATTGGGCTGCATACCTCATTAAGATGCCAACCTATTCATTAATTAAACATTAATAGATTCCTGTCAAGCATTTGTCCTGTCAAGCATTTGAATGAAATTTGTGTTTATTAGTTTGTACGTCCCAATAAATCTATCTATTCTATCCAGAGAAACCTCTCAATGCCACTAAACAGCCATTTAAAAAAAAGCAAATGGCTTCAGAACAGATATTTAATATTGCTTGTAGTAGTAAAGTAGTCACAGGTCACTCAATTGCATCTCACCTCAAAGAGTTCAGTGCCACCCATACGACCGGTGATTAAAGCAAATCATTGCTGGAATACATTAGCTTCAATAAGCACTTAGATTCCACAAGGCAGCTTCAATAACACTTAGATTCCATAGGGCATCCCATATCACAAAGTCTAATCCCAGTACAGTAACGCTGCCTTAACCTATAATCCCCACTGGTCTGCTTCACATTTTTAATAGTGGTTTCATCTACTTTCTGCTCCATGCTCTAACAAGTGGGCGGATACAGAGGAGAATGAGGACGTTTAGTGCCGCTTCTATCTTCTAATCTTGTAATTAGAATTACAATCTCTTTTTATAGCATGAATACCAATAGCCAGTTCCCACCTGCAATCTTTAGATTAACATACCTCAGCATGAGAAGGTTAATCTACATTCAATTATGGAACTAGAAGCCTACAGGCCTGGAACCCTTTTAACTGGTATCGGATTATGTGATCACTATGACAGTCAACCATGATGATCACATGGGTTTGTTTACAACACAAAGTTACAAGCTCAGTTAAAAGGAAATATAGACAGATAAGGAAATGTAAAAAGTGTAACAAAAAATGTTAAAGGCAATCTCTGGGCATATCAAGTCAACTGACACATACTAATGCTGCTAATTTTGGTCTGGGCATCCAAGTTTCAATGACATCAGGAAATAAAAGGGTTAATGTTAAATTCCAATGCTTACCATCATTACTACTATGTGATTTCATCACCATGGCAGACTGGCATTGCTGACCACTTTTTTTTGTTTCATTTTTAAAGAAAACTGTTCAAAGTGACATCTGGAGCAGTTTCTGTATAGCAAGTAATTTTACAACCAGAATAAACATATTCCCTCTAACATTGATTCTCGAGCAACAATCAAGAAGGAGCATTAAATAATATGTATCATGTTTGTACGTGGAAGGAAAATCTTCATGTCCTTTATTTCAGTACTGCATGGTAAGCAGAATCCATGTAGCTCTCAACTGTACAAAGCCCCATTAGAATCTGGTAGAATTCGGATCCAACCATAAATGTAATGTACTGTAGAACTTCTAGAGCACAAATGTCTACCGTTAGACATGCGAGAACACACTTCAATCCATATTACTAATAAGAAAGCATTTTTTTTTTTTTTAAAGACAGATCAATATTTTACCTCTTTTACATGGGCGTCATCAAAATACATCCATTTGCGAATTTTGGTTTGAAAGAAGAATGTGGAGTAATGCTTGCCATAGTAGCAGATCATTCCTACGAGATACAGCTCAGAATGCTTTGCTCGATCATCTGTAACCCTATAAAATAACTGAACACACAATAAAACCTTTTCAGATGAGCACATACTTCGGCTTGTTGACAACAATTCTGTGTGTAAAACATGAAGCCATTAAAGGAGAACTATGAGGGGAGTGTTTTTCACTCCCTTCATAGTTCTAGTCGACCTGTGACATTGAGACTGTCACATGTCGGCTCAGTAGATCGAGAAGTGAGCGAACACATACCAGCGTGACAGGGGAGGGGCTGGATCCCCCCCTCCCCGCCAGCACTGACTGGCGGAATGGAAGGGGGCGGGTACAGCTGGCTCTGCCTCTAGATAGGCTGAGCCAGCTGTCACACACGCAGCTGGGCGGATCCAGACATAATTGTAGAGATCCGCTTCAGCGTCTCAGTATACCGCGAGCAGTAGCTCACTGTATACTACAAGAGACTACAATAAAGACAAATTTACTTATACCAAAAAAAAATATGCAATCTTATAGTCAAATTGTGGGAGAACTCAAATTGTAGTTCAATAGGGAGAGACTGGAAGCGGAACTAAACGAGGCTATATTTTGCTGCGGCCACCTTTGATAGATCTGAATTATCTCAATGAATGTCTCCTTTTATTTATACGACATGGTACCTAACCGCTCAAATGTCCCATGTACTAGGACCCTTGGAAATCTCATAATATGTTGAAAGTGCACTTACTCTTAGATCTGATACATAGGCCAACCAGCATGACCCTTATGGCGCCAGTTGATACTCTGCTCTTACTCGGCATATTCATCGTGCCTAGTTTGTTTTTTATTTTTGTTTGGGTTGTTTGATCTTTTTATTGTTTTACGCTAATGCCTGAGCTGACTGTGTTATTTTCCTTGATGAAAAAATTCTAATAAAATTTATTTAAAAAAATTTTTTTTAAGTGATTTCAAATAAAACACTTATAATGGATGCTGCTCCTTGATGTGTAAAAGTTGGAGTTCCATACAGAGTCAGCCGATCCCCTGAGCACTGGCATGGATATCCTATTTTAGGGTGGCTGCCTTCCCTTGCAGGGTCCTATGGAGCACCCTTGTGTGTGCTAGTAAGCTGTGTCTCTACAAACACAAAGGCACAGCAAGTCAATTCCCTCCACTGTTCAATGATCCCCACTCCACCTTTCTCCAAGCTAGTAGATGGACAGTTGCTAGAGACTGCTATGTCTCTTGTGATCTTATACTGGACAGGAAGTTAAGGGAAGCAGAGCTGAGAGAGTTGATAAATGTAAATACTTGGGCAAAAACTTAAGGAAAAAGTTTGCTGGGCAATGTATATTTGCTTCATCTGGATTCCTTATTTTTTTTTAAACTAAAAGAGAGTGTTTACTACTACTTTTAAACATAAAATTAGCATTAAAAATAATATTCATGTTTTCTTATATCTGCCTGGAGTTCACTTACAAAGCTTTCCCTTAACCTCTGGCATTGCCTTATTAACAGAACTGCTTAGTCTTTCTGGCAGATAGAACAGCAGCCTTGGGGACCATTATATCACAAACAAGCTATAAAGTCAGCCTTTTATTTTCCACTCAGCTGAGGTCATGGCATCAATAGCAAAACAAGGGGGAGCATTAAAAGAGAACCTTTACATGTTGCAAAAAAGGTTTAGAAACAAAGAACGCTTTCATAATTAAAGTGAAATGAAAAATGGCCTGGATGGGAAGGGGGTTTAACACCGCGGATGTCAACTGGTTAAAGTGTTATCTACATTTAGAAGCAAAAACATATTTGTATGCGTTACCCGCCGTATGTCACAGATTCTGGCAGTGACTTTCTTGTGCTGCCTTTACCACATACAGTGCTACCACTTAACCTTTGCTTAGAGTTTTCATAATTCTCTGGCTGATCCACAGAAATTGCCTTAGGGGCAAACTCATTGCAGTCAGCTTATTACAACTGGAGCCAAACAGGTACCATTGCACATAGCAACAAAGTTTCTTCTATCAAATTACATTTTAGAATTAGCTGCTAAGAATAAAAGCTAAATACACTTTTGTTCCAGTTTTCATAAATCATCCTTGCCTCTAGTCAGGTGTTCTACCATTGCAGCTCTTGTTAACCAGCAGCCCATATTAAAATCTTTGCAAAAACCCCATGCTTAACTTGAGACTTAATAGGACAGTTTAAGTCTCAGAGCGATGGCACAACACGTCCTCAGCATCCTAAAAGGATTTAGGCTCTTCTCAAACTATTCTTTTGGTGGTCCATGCATCTAGTTCCTCAATTTACGGACCGTTTAGTATGCAAAAAAAATCACTTGGTCTTTAAATATCAAGCATAGCGCAACAGGAAACTCACATCCCCAAGCTTCAGGCAGGTTCCAAGGCTGTGTATAACATCCTCTGCCAAATCCGAGTGATCAGAATCCCACACCAAGCCTATGGTAATGATCTGAGGGGCGTTCATGAGCACACGACGGATTCGGATTTTCTCACCACAGTTACTCTGTAAAATGTAAAAATGTTTCATCTTATTAAAAACACAAAGTAAAAGAAATGTATACTTTTGTGTAAGAGACCATTCTGGTTACTCACTGGACAGTTCCTCAGGTCTCCCATAGTACTAGCTTTCTGTAATAATTCACCAAACATGTCGGGTGTTGGCTTCTCTCTTCTTTCCAACATACATATTGCCTGGTTGCTATGTTTACAACAAAATAAGTAAATTAGATATGCATTGGTAAAATATTCATAGGCAAGTCAAAAGTGGTAAAACTGTCTCCATGGCTAATAAAACATAACACAACGGCTGCTTTATATAGACTATGCATACACTATAAAGTATTTTGTTACATGACAAAAGCAGTTCTGTACGTTTATGAATTGCTGAAAACATCACTAGGCAGCTGGTGGTATTCTACGATAAATGAAGCCCACATTCCTAAAGCTTGTCATAAACAGGCAGATGTCTCCTCAAGAATGATGGACAGGGAGACATTCGACTGTCAGGACAGCTGATGTACTCCAGTGGCACCCATGTAGTTAATTTCCTTCTCCCTGAATAGCCTGATGTCATATCAGCTGACAAATTTGGACCCTTATGGCTCACTTCTTCCAAACCTGAACAGATAGGTCTTTAATGTAAGCACCCCTTCATCCAAAAATCCAATGTTTGGGGTAGAGATTTTCTTTACTGTATTTCTTTGGTTCATTACTGCAAAGTCTCCTATGTACTTAGGAGCCCCATGTTTGATGATGACAATGAGGAAGTGTATTCTTAACATGTACTTTAAATGTAGGAGGTTGGGCAGATGCCCACCTGCTGACCAACCACTCTGTTGTATAAATTTTTGTAAATATGATGTATCTTGGGACATTTAGAGCCATGCCAAAACAGACATGCAACTAAAAAAATTGATGGAACCAGGCAGTGATGCAGCTCAAACATTTGACCCAACCATATATTTTAAAATTGCCACACGTCTTCAGGAGTACGATCTTTATTGTGGCTAGGCAGGTTTGTATACCCTTTCAATCTGTCTATTGTGCAATATTGTGATAATTTCAATACAGAGAAATTCTCAACACCTCATACTAGTTGCAAGCTAGGGTAGTTCTTCCAGCAACATACTGGCATTTTCCAACCAAATGGTGTTCCCCATGTTTCTTCCAGTAAACGGAGAAGTATGGTACTGGTAGAGTAAGATACACTTTTCCCAATACTTAGAGCCATCGTGGGACACTGCAGCTGTCACGAATCAGCCCTACATGAACAGCTGAACAATCGTGTAACCACTGATTGCTCAGCTCAAGGCTTCTCCCTGCAGAGAGTGGTGACTTTAAGGTACTGCTCCCCGCAGGGATTCCCCTCTCCCTTCCGTGTTTCTCCAGTGCTCATTGCAGGAACAGACAGGGGAGAAGGCGGGCACAGCAGGCACTGGCTCTAAAGAAGCATAGCCAGCTGTCAATCCGGCAGCCGGGTGGATCCAACATTATTGTCAGAACCCATCCCGGCTGCAGCGCAGTTCTGTGTTGTCAGCATATAGCGGGAAGTAGTCCACTATCTGCACACTTTGGGTCACAGGAGTAAATTAGTAAACATCCTCCTTTGACCCAAAAGATGACTAAAGCCAAAAACAAGGTTAGGCTTTACCTCTCTTTTAATGATCAGTTAGCAAGCTCCATCCTAAACCTTGAATGAAAGCAAAACAATTGTTTACTCCACCATTTTATTCTATAGGGTCTTGGCATTCAGAAAATATATAATGTTGGGGGGTTTTACGTCATTTTTAGGCCTAAAATGTGGAATATAACATGGGTGCAAAAATGGAAAAAAGGGCCTCAGTCATGAAGGGGTTAAGCTTATGTTACATGATCACATTATATATTACATGACCGGCTGGCAGAACATTTTACTTCATCTTACCAAAGTGCAGTAGTAGAGATATAATGCACCATCTGTATAAAAGGCAATGGATCTGATGTGGCACCACAGCTAGTACAGACACACTGAAAAACAAACCCACATGTTATATAAGAGTAATGAATCTTTTAGGGTGGTGGCACACGGGCTGTTCTTCAGCCAGCTCAGGATAATTTGTCAAGCTGATTAACTGTTTAGCTTAAACTGCTCATAGATTTTTATAGGCACTTTTCCAGTGCTACGTGAAGAAGAGATGAAGACAATGTCTTCAATTTGCCACTCCTGGGAGCAGTTTGCCAGCGACTATTTTTGTATCTTCTGACCGCACCTTACGGAAAATTACCTGCACTTAATAAGCAAAAATATTTGGTTAATTAGAAGCGCTTAAAGTAAACTCTTCTACTGGCCACAAATAATACAAAAAGAAGACACCCTTGACTTTAGCTTGCCCCACACATAGCAATGCTGGTGCTTCTGAAATACCTATGCATATATCAAAAAGTCAGTATTTACCTATTCTTAGGCACGTATATTACACTCCCTGGACAAGGGATTGGACAAGCTTATGATGTGCACTGGCAGTGTGCTTCATGGAAAAGTTTACAAAGTAAATGATCTGCACTTCTATACAACACTACCTTTACTTTTTTATTTCCTGTGGCCAGTACAAGTTTGCCACAAAGCTCTGGCTAAAAAAAACACCCGTGTGCCTCCCCCCACCCAACCTGGTTAAAAAAGAATATACATAAAGTGACGTACTTTTCTTCCACCCCTGCCACCCACTGTCGGGCCATTCAGCTATGGCAGAAGGTCCACAATATTTCATAACCGACTCATTTTGCAGACCTGCTAAAAACATATTGTGAACCTTCTACGAGAATTAAAGTACATCTTTCCTGATGAAGTGGTCAGTTGTTGTCACAATACAGAAAATGTCCTCTTACTTGAAATTAAAAAGATCTTCTATGTACCCAACTGTCTTCTCTTTTGATGGGACCTATCTTATTGTGGGCGCCAGGACTATAAAACACAGTTTGGGGGCATTTTCCCCATCTCCTAGTATCCTTTAAGCAACAACAACATTCCAGGGGTCAAGTTTCCTCTGCTGTTTTGAGAGTGACCCGGTCCTGATAAAGGTCGAGGTGGATGATACCACAAGATACCTACATACCTGTTCAAACAGAGTCATTGCAAACTTCTGATGAGAAATACAGTGCTGAGCAGTGCAGATATCTTCTTTGGACTCATCTGCGATGTGAATGTGGAGGCGGATTAGAAGATTTTCCTGTGCACAGAAATTAGGTTTGTTACAAAGTTTTGCAGGCAAACTGCCAGATGACGATGTCTAAAGCAATACTGCATATTCTTCACCAAATCTTATGATTATGATTCTCTAAAGGATGATAGAACATCGCTAGTTTAGTGCTGTTATTCTGAAATATGTTACAACAACATCGCAACAATAAGTTTTTTTTTTAAATGTAAATTTTAATGTGTGGTTGTGGTGGTGGGGGACCTATTAGCACAAAACATTTATATTGAGAAACTGAATTTATCACCATTGGTAGCTCCTGAGACATAACCAACTAATGGTATATGCAAATATAGACATTTCCTTTAAGTGTTGACTTTTACCCTGACACTCAACTTTTGAGCCTCCTTACTGGCCAAGGAGGAGTCTGCCCATTACATTACACCCCATTGTGAAGGCCAGAGAGGGAAGAGAAAGTGGCACTAAGCATATTGATTGTCACAGATATTACAAATCTAAGGTGTGCGGTCATAAATTGTAGCCGTCATGGAAAGCACACGAAAGAAGTAGCTTCTACTGTGAAAAGAAAGCCATTCTCAGAGGCTGAACTATAAATGACTTGTATCGCTAGATCACAGACCTTTTATTGAATGCAGTTCAATTTTTCCTAGCAACAAAGATGCTAATGGACATGAAAGTAGTTATTTGACTGCTAAAAATATGTATTGGTCCTTGAAATCCACGGTGTCTCCTACTTATAAATTTGTACTTTGTCTGGTTTCATTCCATCATTTGTCATGAGTAGGCTAACTCCAAAATCCACAACCAATGGCAAATCTCTTTCTTGGAGGTGTCCAAGATGAAGACCAGGCACTCAGACTCTGTGTACCTGGTTGTACACCAATGTCTACCATTTCTGGCACAGAAGACTCACTGCTTAGGTGTGACAGTTTTGTACAAAGTGGGTAAAGGTTATGACTTGTGTCATGTTATTATTGCTGTCTGTGGTTTCCTTGCAGTGAAAACTTTGTAACTGGGAAAAGACCTTAGGGGAAATTAACAATGAAAAACACAAACTTTAGAAAAGGGGAAGGCTGCATAGGCTTTGTAATATTGTCTGTGTCCCTCCCCTCAATTCTAGTTCCATAGATAACCTAGTCACTGAAACCGCAGGTGACAAGAAATCTTCTCAAAAGGGGCAACAGACAGTAAAAAGAACCTTAAACCCACGGGCATGCAACCTCGGCACTCCAGCTGTGGTGAAACTACAAATTACACTATGCCTCTGTAAGTCTTGCCTGTCAGTCTTGCAATGCCTCATAAGACTTGTAGTTCCACCACAGCTAGTGTGCCTAGATTGTCTATCCCTACTTTAACCCCTCAACCCAAAACCTAAGCTGGAATGAAGACCAGAAATACCAGCTACAAGTGCATGGAACTCATGTACATCTATTCACATCAAAAGCACAAAGATGAAAGGGTAGTGCACATATGATGGCTAACTTACGGCATACCACTGCTTTATATCAATGTGTCTGCACATTAATATTATCTGTACTTTAGTGCTGAATATTTCAATGATATGACTAAAAAAAATGCATGCAATATGCCACAGTGTCACTTAATAAGACACTAATCTCACGATCTGGCATTCAAATTTTTAATAAAAAGCACTTCATAATATAATTCAGACAGACAAAATCAAAGTTCCTTGTGAGTCTGCCAAAACAAAAAGGGAAAATTCAAATGTACTTGTACTGTAAATGTACTGTAAAATCAGAAAATGCGTGGCGTAAAGTAGTATATAGTAAACTAACAAAGCAATACTAAGAAATGGGTGATTTTACTGAAAATCCCAGAAGAATGGCGAGCGTTGCCATACATGCAAAGTTTACACAGTGACTAGTGCTCATTAAACATTTATTTGTACAATAGGGAGACATATACAGAACAAGAGCAGGGAAATCTCGACATAAAAACTGAATATTTTAAAAGCTCTGCCTTGGAAAAAGAAAAAAAAAAAAACCTGCAAAAAAAAAGGAAAAGGAAAACTGTGACCTCTTTACCAAGGATCAGAAAATATTCCGTAAACAATTCAGCCTTACAAATTAGTCCTTCAGATATGAGTACTGAAAGAATGAAAAACTATTGAGCCTATTATGCAAGACATACTGTAGATTTTTGGCCCAAATGCAATTATCTTAATAAATTAACTTATACCCTTCAATGTATGAAGAGAGGCTAGTTAGGGCCCATTCACAACACATTAAAGGTGCTCCATCTTCATCCAGGCCAATCATTTTTAACTGGCAGAACTTTCAGTAATTAACTTAAGGCCCATTCACACCCGTGCGTTAACACATACCAAACGCATAGACACTAAAAATCAATGAATTTCAATGGGTGTAGTTCACACCATCATGTTGCATTGACGTGCATTTTTAAAAAGTAGAGAAGACTGCATTTTTTCGCAACACGTATCAAAGCAACACATGTGAACGCATCCCTTTTTGACATGAGTCTTCTCTGCCACCCTGTAAAAAAAAATTTTAAGAAAAATGCAACGCAAATGTATGCAAATGCATGTAAATGCGTGTTCATTTTTTTTATCCATTTACTGTGCGGTTCTGGTATGACTTGGCCCTTAATACATGTAATGTTGGTATTCAGTATTTCAATTACTTTTCTTTGAAATGACTTTACTGATATGGTTGCCATATTTACATGCAGAGTAACTGGTGAATAAGTGTTCTAGTTTGTCCCAAATCCCTGCACGACCACTACTGCTGAAAGAATGAATATGCTGCATATGATCAATACAAGTATTATGCACATTCCATGATCAGAATACAGTATTTTGCAATATTTGTTCTTTAAGTGTTGGACAAGCCACCTAGATTTTATATGATTGGACATTGAAAATGAAGAATTAACCTACTTTAGAATATCTAAACCTTCATGTCACTAACTGTAGACCAGCCCTTGGGATAGTAAAATGGAGTGGCACTCTAAAGGGTTCACTGACTCTTAGTAAATGTGACACCTACAGAAACCGGTTATTAATTGAGCCAGTTATTCCCTTTAAATTATACCAAAAATATAACTTGCATCTATAATTATTAAAGTGGAACTCCAGACAAAATGTTTTTCTGCTTGTTTGGCAAAGTGTAAAAGGGCAAGAACCTCTGCCAGGTTTTATTTTTGTCTGTTTCCCCATTGGAGCAATTTCCCTTACCTCCTGTCCTGAAAAAACAGGAAACGAGAGCAACTCTCCCCCAAAGCAAGAGGGAATTCCACTTTTGATTGTTCTACATTCTTCCCTTCTATCCCTGTTCCAGTTTAAAATTTTAGGCAAGCTGTTACCTTTTCGCCAACTGACAACAGACAAGAGTAAAGGTTACATTTTAATTAGTGACTGTGCCTCAAAAGGTAACAACACTTTAGCTTATGTACTACACTCCCCCCTTCTTACAGTTTAAAGAGGACATGTACTGTGGGTGCTGTTCCCAAAACGGAAAGCAGAGGTCAAAGGACAAGTCACATTTATTGGCTGGAGGCTCCCTCAGGTACCGCTATCTCCACAGCAAGAAGTACACAAAAAGGCCCCAAAGTAGGACAAAATGCTTCTACTTACAAAGCATTCTGCTGCATCGTCCATAATACCCAGCTGGAAACGCTGCTCATCTTGAAACGTCTTGGCAAGGGCACTGCGCAGAGCATCTGATGGTAGTACCTTCTCACTGCTACACTGGAATTGGTTGAATATCCCCTGGAAAAAAGAAATAAATGTATTTTTAATACATACTATATATTATAATGCTGCAGAGCTAAGGAAGACTGATTAAACTGTGCTCACTCCTAGAGGAGCAGTTGCTAACTTTCCAAAGATAACCGCTCCTTTTTTCCCCTTTGCCTTAGGACCAGTCATCAAAAGCAAAAGTCAGTACAAGTACAACATTGTTTTAATTTAGTCTTCTGCAGTCTGCACTGATCAACAGCATCATATAGAGAACAACATATCTGCAGACCAAGACTTTCCACATATTAACCTCTGAATGTTTTCATGAATGTAGATTTATATACTTCACTAATGTAGCCCCAGGCACCTGAATACATAAGTTCATCCAAGCCCTGCCCACCTCCCACCCATATAATTCCAGACAGCCAACTGTTGAACGCAGAAAGTACATCTTTAAAGATTTAGGACGCTGTCTTTGCTCTGGTCTGTAGACAGGCTACTTTCTACATTAAATGGCCAAGACTACAGACAGGCTGAATGTAAATAAAGCAATACTTGCACTGACATGGGCTTGTATTAACAGCTCGCAAAGTGCAGGCTAAGGAAAGGCAGATGATTTGACTTGTTACTCGTTATGCTAGGCAAACTAATGTATTGTATTTTAACCACTTGCTGACCGGGGTGTTTACACCCCCTTCCTGTCCAGGCCATTTTTCAATATTCAGCGCTTCAGTACTTTGGCTGACGTTTATTCCGTCATGCAACGATGTACTGAAATTAATTTTATACCATTTTTTGGGGACAGATAGAGCTTTATTTTGGTGATATTTAATCACCACTGGGGTTTTTATGTTTTACTATATAAAAAGTACTGAATATTTTTTTTTTAAATGGTTTTACCTTATTTTAGGAAACATTTATTTTTACCCAATTTTTTGGTAAAATATAAAAGGCGGGGTCACGACAGGTAAATAGATACCAAACATGTCAAGCCTTAAAATTGTGCACGCCCGCGAAATCGCAAAAACACCATAGCCAAAATTGGTCATAGGCGACGCTTTAAAATATTTTACCGCTCATCAGTTTAGTGTTATCAGTGATTGATGGCCTTAAAATGATTGCTCTCATTGCGACATGCAACACGTCCAGCATAATTGGAGCAATCGTGTTTTTTTGCGTATAGGCGCCACTAACGCATTTTTGCGCATCTATGTGGGGGTGGGGGACTTTTAAAAAAAATTGTGGGTTTTTTTTTAATTTTGTGTGTACATTTTTATTTATTTTGTGAGCAATTTTTTTGTTTTACTTTTAATTTTACACTTAACTTTATTGTTATCACATGGGGTACTAAAGTTCCCTATATGATAACAAATTACAGTTACAGGTCCCCTTTATGGAGACATCAGAGGTCTCTAAGACCCCTACTGTCACCTAGGGACCACCAGAGAAGATGATGAAGCAGAGGAATGCAGAAGTGATGTAGTATACATCACTTCCTGCATTCAGAGACCGGGAGGAGAGAGGAGGGAGATCGGGTCGGGTATTGATCTCCCTTCGTTCTCAGTGCACATAGCGGCCACATCGCCTGGCATGGACGCCTGGGATCGCGGGGACAGCGGCGGTGGCGGGGATAGCGACGGCCACCAGAGGTAAGGGGTGGGGGGGGTGGACCCTCACTTGAATCATACAAAGCGATCAGGCATCTTTACAGACGCCAGACCGCTTGTATGTAAACGGTCATCGCTGGCCATTTAAAATCCAGCCGGTCTCCCGCTCGTGCGAGTCTAAAGACGCCCACCCGCATCCAGGAGACTCCCATCCGGCCATCTTTCAACGATCGGCGGACGGGAGGTGGTTAAATGAGAATTATGGGGAGAGTGAAATAAACTCATTCCCATAATTAGAGCCGACGTGTGACACTGAAGCGGTCACAGGTCGGCTCTATTGATCAAAAACTGAGCGATCACATACAGCTGATCATGCAGTCCCGGATCTTCTGCCTGCAGGGATTCCCCCTCCCCTATCCGTTTCTGCAGCATTGACTGGAAGGACAGAGAGGGGAGGTAGGGGGCGGGCACAGCTGGCGCTGGATCTAGAGAGGCAGAGCTAGTTGTCTGGCAGCTGGGTGGATCCCAACAATATTGTCGAGATCTTTCCTGAGTGCACCACGGCTCTGTGCTTTCAGCATATATGACTAATTTTGGGTCACAGGAGGACACTAGTAAATGTTCTCCTGTGGCCATGAAGAGCACTATGGCAAAAAAGGTTGGGCCATAGTTCTCTTTTAAACTTAACCTGTTATATTTAGGCTGGGTTCACACCTGGGCGTTTTTCAGCGCTGATCGAAGCGCTGAAAAACACTCAAGTGAAATCCTATTAATTGCTATGGGCATGGTTCCCACCTGGGCGTATTTCAGCGCATTTCATTGGACAGAAAAACATGCTACAAACGCAAGGGCAAAAACGCGCATATAGCAAACGCCCCGGTGGGAACCCAGCCTTAGGCAATTCATACTGAGCAGATAATGAAGAGAAAAGAAAATACCTTAAAATAAAAGAAAAACAAGCTATACCAATCAGCAGATCCAGAGATATTGGCTTCTAAAGTAATATACAAATTTTAACCTGGGCTTTAAAAATCAAGCTCAATCACTACCACCAAAATTCACAATATGTCAATCAAGTGACCACCAGATTTAAAAGGACCAATAGGGAGACTTGGTAGACAGAAGAGGATGGTCAACATTTGTTGAAGCAAAACGCCATGTTTGCATTTAACTTGCGTGCCTATGCCAGCAGAGATACCGATAATTTTGACAAAAGGTTATCTCTAAAGGTCACCTTTGCTTATGCAATTTTTTATCAAATGCTCAGACTGAACAGTTCTTGTTTGTGACTTGTTTACTTTAAAGATACACATATAATTTAAGGCTAAAAACAGAGTTACAAGCTTACAAAGTGGCAATTCATGAAACAGAAACCTTCTTGTCTTAAGGCCTGGTTCACAACTGGGCGTTTTACAGCGCGTTCCTACGCGCTATAAAACGCTCAACATGTGAAAACCAATAATTGCCGATGGGAATGGTTCCTACCTGGGCGTTTTACAGCGCGTAGGAACACGCTGTAAAACGCCCAAAAAAGTACAGGGGCCTCTTTAGGGCATATTTGCCGCGCGTATCCATTAGAATACAGCCGGATAGACCTTGGAAACGCGCGTTTGTCACGCGTTTCTTTTACCGCAAATCGTCACAAAACACGCATATTCTGTACGCCCAGGTGTGAACCCAGCCTAAGACAAAAGGTATGCCAATAAAATCAGTACTAACACATCTATAACTGTCTTCGGGCGGGGGGAAAAAAGCAAACAAGCTGCATAGTGTTAGCAAATACTTCAGGAATAAAAACCCGTGTGATACAGTTATTTGCCTGGTATACAGGGGCTCTGGGACACTGTCATCCTTTATAAAGGAAGCATCTGATATACATGTATGGGGGAAAACAACACTTTAAAAGTATTGTTAGTGAGATATTGCAAAGCAAGAACAAAAGCAGCCAAGGTTTATGTGCCAGTTATCCAAGTAGTTTATACCTACAAATGTTAACATTACAATAGCTTAGGAGGCATTTTTTAGACCTCTAATAACATGTACTTGAAAGAGAACAAAAGCTGGAATAGGTAGCACACATCTTAGTATAAATAAAGGGATCAGACCATCCAAAGTGATAAGCGAGTTTTGTAAACATCCTGGAGAGTTAAAATGACCCGGTGACACTTGCATGGCAGAGAGAAGGGGATTGTTAGCCCCTGTTTAGTCTTAATCTATATATATTCTGAAACTCTACACTCTGTTCGGAGAATTCCATCTTAAAGAACATGTGATCTAGACCCATCTATAGAAGTGTAGGATATCCTACATTTGCAGCATAATGGGGTGCGCAGTACAGATCTTCGGGGGGAGAAGAGGACAGACTCACTGTAAGTCAATACACGCAGCCGAGAGTGTGCAGGCCGAACAGACACCGTGGGACAGGAGTCTGCGGTGGATCAGAGGCCGGCACCAGCGCTGGTGGAATTGCTGAACACAATTGGAAGGAAGAAAATGATCGGATCAAGAGGCATAATTTAGGCTAAGTCCTTAAAGTAGAATGGGCGGGGGGCTATTTGTGACTTTAAACAGGGAATAGGATCCTAAAAGACCATATTAGATGTTTAGAAAGGCACAGATAGCAAGGCTTGAATTCAACAAATGAAAGCCAGACATCTAATGCAAGCAAGTTGCAATTATAGCCATTTCATTTACAGAATGATATCCCCCAAATATAAATAGGTATATCTGACAACCACCAATATATCATGGGGTTTGAATAATCAGATGACAGGTACACACAAGTGTATGCAAATATTTTTAATTCTACAATTACATACTGAAAAAAACCTCTCGTTTTAAAATATGGTTTTGGGCTATTTGGTAGCCGTTCTGAACTCATCCAAATTGTTTTGTAACTGAGTTTGGCCCAGAAGAGGTTGGCATTTGGAGGACAAGGTACCCTCTGTTAAAAGAACAAATGAGCACTTCATTCCTCTACTGAACTGAATGAGCTCACAGAGACAAATATCAACACTGTTAGAGATGTCTTTTGAAACTTCAGTCATTCGAGTATTAAACATGCATCTGTTGGCAGAATTTCATTCTTCATGTACTAACCCCATTATCCTCCACACACAAACATTTTTTTCTCTTTTCACTATTCTTTAAAAAGGAAGCTAAAATATTTGCACATCATAAGAGCCGCAGAGTGGATAAGTGATTACCACTCTCGTCTGGCTCCTGCATGTGACATTCACCAGGGACAATAACTACATGGAGTTTGCCGTTTTGTCCCAAAAGCCCTACATTTTCTTTTTCTCATTGTACCTATGGATCTTAGAAGTAGGGAGAACTAATGGAATAAATGCATTGTTAGAGGTCCCTGAAGACACAATTAGAAAACAAAAAAAAAGACTGATCTATGCATTAAATAGTAGATAA